TGTGGGATAACAACAAGAGAGAGGGATGACTTTTTCCAGGGTGCAGGCATACATGGAACGATCTAGAGTAAGATGAGTGTTCCTCTGTAAATATTTCTGTACACCAAAGAGGAAGCTCATGTTATCTCCAAAGCCTGGGAGATAGACAATGATACATTTAAAACTTGACATCTACACAATCTGCCTACAATTATCTACATCTGAATCAGTGCCCAGGGAATCCTACATGTTCGTAAAAACTCACTGCACTGCACTGTTACTGTAGGTCCCTTCCAGAGAATGGTTTATGTAATCACCAACACACAAACATTATATAAACAGTGCAGAACTGTGGAAATTGAAAAACTTCATTATAAGATACAAGCCAATAAGCACATGGATATTTACATATTCATATAAAAATATTTACGTTGACAAGACTAACACATCAGATACCTAGTTCTGATAATTAAAATTAACAGAATTGTGAGAAACTCTATTTTTAATTTCGACCCCCATAAGGAAATCGAAATATCCATAAATCCTCATCATTATAATAACAATTCACTAAAATATGATTTTGAAACACAAGAAAAAAAACTTTATGTGGCACCAAAAGTGATGATAATGAAATACAGATGGCGGAAAACTATTGTTTTCCTAACAAAATATTATGATTCAATTCCCCTTCCATACTGTGTGTTTGTCAGAACACAGGAAAGGTATATCTGGAAGTGTTATGGAAGGAAGGGATAAACCCGTTTAACTTTAAATAGATTTCCTCTGACAAAGCAACATAAATCAATCAGGGATCAGTTTCTTCATTTGTTTAACAACATGTACCATCAGAATAGAATTACAAGAAATTACTCTAAGGAAATTAACAGTGATTCTGAAAAAATCATTGAAAAAACCGTGATGAATTCCCTTAGGTGAAGAATGTTGTAGAAACAAAGGATTGGTTTCTTGTGTAACAACAATTAATACACTCTACCTGGCATGTTCTATTTAGGCTATTATTTATCACTCTACTCTAATAGATATAAAGACAAAATATCAAAGTATCAAATTGGAGCCAAGTCGAGAGTTATTTGTACTTTAATGATCTGTGATTCAGATTTGGCAGGTTTTGTTAGAACATAAAGTGACTTGCACCACATAGCCTCCAGGACCTTCGATCCATGCCAGAGAGCTCTCTAGTTATACAGAATCTCATTGAAACAGTTCTACGACAACAGGGATCCATCATTTACCTGTGTGATGTTAAAGAGAATCGTTAAGTGTGAATAACATGATGGCTGCTTTTGTAGCTACCAACAGAATCTTTAACTGCATCACAAAGGAAAAATATAGCTGGAAGAATTGGCCAGAGTTGGATAATCACCAAATGATCTCTCTCTGGTATACTGCTGAAAGTCTCTTCATCATTTTGAGAAAAATATGTTTTTTTGTTTTTCTAAGTAAATAATATGGAGTTCAAGAGTTTTAATTTTTATTCAGACTATAGATCCAGGTGAAAAGTTGAATCAAACATTTTTTTATAAAGTTTGTGTAACAGGTTATTGATAGGATGAATATTGTAGTAAACATTACCATGTTTCCTAACATTTGTCTGTGTTTCAGTCACTTGAGAATCAGTACGGCTTGGTGTTTTTCTTTGATTGATCTTACACTACTTTATTATAACCTCAATTTTAACTCTCCAGGAAATCTTTCCAAAATCAACGATGGTTTTCTTAATATGAACATTCTGTTAGGGCTGGAATCTCACTTCAAGGTTTCTTAAATGATATGTATCATATAAAATATTGAATTTTTTTCCAGTCAAGGATCATTTTTTTCATTTTGTTAAAGAACAAGTACTAATAGAATGTAAAACAATGGATATGTTATCTAAACAGTTACCATTAAACTGAAAAAGATGTCCATTCTACTGAAAGCATTTAAAACCATTTGATCAAGTGCATGTACCAGATTGGCTGTAATAATTATACTAACAAAATTAGAATAATATGTGAAATGATAATACAGTGAAAAAACTGTTTCAATTTGCTCTGAATTTTCAAATATTGAAGTATTTGTATATATTTACACCTGCGTTGCATTCTCTCTAAATGAAGTAAGCCCAACCCAATGTTAACAATTTTCGATATTTACGTACGGTGATTAGGCTTGCACATTGATATCAAATAAAATTTAAGAACTACATGTCCAAGTTGCGAACACTACAAAACGAGACTATGGTTTATGTCGTTCGGAAAAGTAAAGAAAAATGTCAATTCACCGATGCCCTCAGAAAATACACAACCTAACCTCAGTTTGAATTATTCTGCAATGTAAATAAAATTTGATGCAGCTACAGAAAATAAGAAACAATCCTTAAATGTAGATCTACTTGTCTTACTTTTTGTTTTAATATTTAAAACCTGTTTTCAACAAATACCACAAGATAAACTTGATCCTTTTTGAAGAAATTACTGTTTGTGTATATCTTGTACATGTAAATTGCCATGCCAACAAATAACAGTCTATTGTTGTTTATCATCATATTTACCTCCTGTTATAAACTACCCAGTGGAAGTGCACATGTCTCTTTAATGACTCTACCACAAAAAATCCATTAGCACAGTACTGTTGGACTAAAACAATGTTTGGTTATGACAGGTAGTACAGATTTATGTGTAGACAACAGGAAATCTTTAACAGGGGACTCCCATAATACCTAAGGTGGGTACAGGGCTGTAGGAGATGTCGAGTTAAATCACACACAATGATGTCAGCATGGATGGGGGTGTGCTTGTTCACCCAGTACAACAGGGTCCATGTTTCTCTGAGTCATTATATAAAATATAAAACGTATTACTATGTTACACTAAATCCCCCACAACCTATACATATACATGGTTTTTATATCAACATATAAATCAAGACACTTCCGTAGACTTCCTCTAATAACCTCTAATTAGCTCCCAAGACGGTTTTATCATCCCTAATAGACACATCTCAAAACTCCCCCGCCAGTAGATAATGCAAATGTACATATTACACAGAGCAACTTGCACAAGTTTTTGTCGACATAAAATACTGAAAAGAAAATTTCTCCAGGGGAAGCCATTTTGATTATTTATCCTTCACAGTTCATTGATCAATAAATTCATACAAGAAACCTTAAAACATGATATCATAACGTGTCTATGTATGTTTGTTGTGAAAAGATGTAAGACAATTAAAGGGTGACATTTTCAAATTCCTCAACACATTTCCAAAAGCAATGTGATGACTTGACTGTCTGATATTGCTCAGGAATAAAGAAGAAACTTTCAATGACATAATTTATTCTTATTTCTGGAAGCAAGATGTCTCTACTATAAAGAAATTTACGGAGAAAAAAACATAAAACTTAAAGGAAGTTAAGTAAAATTCTTCAGAGAATTGTTCGCCTACTGCAGAGATGGAGGTTGGTCTCATCTAAATATCATCTGGTTAATGTTTATTCTATCATAGTCTATCAGGCCTTGTTATCGGGTTTTGCACACACAATTACCTCCCCTGACAGGACTCTCCTGATATTTACATTTCACAGGTAGGACAAACTCCATGAAGTCCCGTTTGATGGATGCATGATGTCTATTCCATAGCACCAGATCAAAGGCCATCTGCCGGGATATCAGGGGTGAATCACTCTCACACACAGCAAAAAAACAGCCTATGAATGCCGTTCAAATATCAATCTCTGATCCCTATCTCTATCCCTGTAAAATCAAACCTGCACATCAGTTTTACTTCTGACAGGAAAAAAAGATACAAAATCAAAACATATATTCAGTATAACTATGACAAGAGATATTAAAATTGTACTATACACATATGACCTTGGCCCTAAATATAGATAATCAGAATAGTTGTGTAGTCAGTGTGCTGTCTCTAAACACTTCATTAATAAATAATGCGCTTGGAATTATCATAGAAACATTACTTAAATATCTGGGAAATAGTAACTGTAGGACCAGTTTTAAGGCGTCACATGACTTTTGTCCTCATCAAGGGTTATCAATTTTAGCATGAAATGAAATTATCTGTCTACTGAATGTATATCTCTGATGTCAGTCACTCAACAGAGTTTTAAAAACTGGTAAAAATCTGTACATGATGCACACAATCCTTGATACTCCAGGGGTTTCAATTATTCTCATTCTATGCACCTCTGGAACAAGTTGTGGCAAAACTGAAGGTTCCATGTAAGACACCTTGTGGACAAGACAAAAATACTAGTTTGATCCTATGATGTACGTCAAACCAATCACAAGGTCGCATAATAGTATATTGTAATGGCTTTGAAGCTGAGTATCATTCCTTCATAATCTCTAAAAAGAGCATATCACCCTGTGATTGGTAATTTTTTCTCTCCTGGATCCAATGAAATTACTTTGTTTTGATATGTGAGGAGAGTCAATTGCAAATCCCTTCTGATTAAAAAAGTTGAAAAAAAAAGATATTTTTGTTTTGGTAAGATGATGATACTTACAATAACATACAAAATATCTATTTTTATAACAGCAGTCAATGATATTATGGCTGGAACAATTACTGTGAACTAATAAGTATAAAAATCTTTTAAAATGTATCATTAAATACAGCACAATATATCTTGCCTTTTGAAGCCCTGTCATCTTCCAAACATGGTGATTTCACATAAACGGGCATTAGGATTTTTTACCTCCAAAACCTTTACATCGTATGTTTCTTTTGACAATTATCACATGCACTCAGATATGTACAATGCAGTATGGACACAGCATGTATCACATGACTGAAGCACATGACCTTGCAGGTAGTCACATGACTCAGCAATAAAATGGCAATAAAAAGCTATTAGAGTTTGCCAAAGTGCATGTCTCTGATAGCCCATCAACAGGACAGAGGAACTACAAACAGTATCCAAATTTTGACAAGGAATAGAAAAATATGGCGATGAGGTATCATATCCCCAAGGAAACTTTTGTTTATAAAACAATACATACCCCTGCTTGGCAATCTACCGAGGTCTTTGACCCAAGATTGACAATTCGTCCATCAGCATAATACATCAGATTTTTTCCTAAGTGTCCTGGCTCACCACCTAAAAATCAGTAAATCATATATTATTATACAGTAACACATTACACATACACCAACTACATCAAAAGAAAAGGGTAACCTTAACTCATTAAACATATACAATATTTTACTGCAGATCTAAGACCCCTCCATACATGCTGACAAATGACTTATCAAAAGTGTTAGGGGGCTTATTTTACAAGCAGTATAACTGTTCCGTCCCTATCTAATAATTTCCAAATTCTTGAATAAACACATAAAATGTCTACATTGTATTCTGTTAGACATTTTGAAAGTTCTGTATCCTCCTAAAAAAAATTTCTTATTCAGGCACAGATATGTTAAATACATTTTTAAAGCTGATTTTTCTCAACAAAGCTAGGGATTTACCCCACAATGTTTTAAACTGACGGTAGTATTGTGATCATACTATCATAAAGAGTGCCTCATTGACGACTCATTGCAGAGCACTTTCAAAATTATAATCACAACACACCAACTCAAGTTTCTAAAAACACTGTAAAGCCAATACTTCTCCTTCAAACTGATTCTAACAAACAAAAACATTATATTTTAATACTGTTTTTGTCCATCATTTCTCAAATATTGCTTAATTTATTCCAGGATTTTTGAGAAGCAAAAGTTCATGTTATTGTTCCGGCATCATTTTCATGATATATCAAGGTCATTCAAGGTCAATGGTGTCATGAACAAATGCATTGTTGCTGAGAAATTTGACGGTATTTCCAGATTATACTACCAAAAAATATCTTTGGTGACAAATCATATGTTGTGTTAGAGAATCAATATTGTATATCAGGTAATTCTGCATGAATCTAAGTGCTATGAATTTAACAACCCTTATGAATTCACAAAATATAATGTCGTAAAATTTGCGTCTCTTTTCCATTCGAATTCCATTTATAACACGTTTTTATGTCCAAACAATTCATTTCTTCTAAAATGAATTATGTAAATGCTGACTAAACATAACTCGAGGCGCCATTAAAACATATGTACATGGTGTTACATTTTACGTATAGTGAGTGTGTTACATGTACCTGTATCTTGACAAAGAAGATTGCGGTAAATGTTATTGAGATGTGAACAATTAGTCCAAAGTGTCCTATATACAAGGTCCTTCATGCTGTTGGAACAATCCGAGTTTTGTATTTTGACACAGGTGGTAAGAGTTGTATTGGACCAATAAGCAGGCTGAATACACACTAGACCTGTTATTAATTAAACAGATCTACCAATCAGGCCCTAATCCTTTACTGCCTATACAACATATTCCATACGACTTTCCCCTTTCACTGTAGTCTTTGATTTCACCAAGATTTGTTTACATATGAAGTGTACTGACCATAAAACAAACAAACGAGAATATAAGTTGTGCACTTTGTAGACAAAAATGTAGTCGGTCACTGACTTGGGAAGAACTTGGTGAAACATCTAAACAGCAAACTAAACTGGAGATGTGTACCATCATCAGTATTTTATCCTTCTGCATTTGACCAACTGATCTAGAATGAACATTTTTACACCTTTTCCTGATTTTTATCTAACAGCAACAAATGTTTGAATGTCTGACATTGTTAATACTGTATATATCCTAAAGAAAGCCCAGGGGGCCAACACATTACTTCAAACACAAAGTCAATTAGTGGTCCTATTATAGGACTGTTGTAGAGCTTTAGTTAACACATTAACTCAAAGTCAGTGGGTGGGCTTATTACAGGACAATGATATAGCATTGGTTTCAAATTTTACATGTAAATGACATAGGGTGGGCTTACAACTAGGTATGGGTGTTGTTGGATGGTATTTGGATAACATTTATCACAGATATTTTACAATGAACGGTTTCTGTCCAATATTTTTACTGACAATCTTTGCAATTTTCATGTAAAACTTCTATTGCCCTGTGACTTATAGATATGAGAAGAGATGTTCATCATGATACCCGACACCATGAACTGGTAAAATTTCAAAAATTAAGTGGCTAGGCTTTTATATCAGTTAAAACCAACACATAGGGTGTGTTTTCCTGTCTAGTTCCTGAAAAATAAGCACTGATTGATGATATTGACATGCGACATATAGTTTGTATGTTTATCAGAATTGTTTGTCAATTTAAAGAAGTCATGTCCAAAATCAGTTGGACAAAATGTCCCTAAATTTAACCACCTCTACCAACAATGGTAGGATTCATGGAACGATGTCAATAGAATAAAGAAAATTAAGTTCTTAATTTGATATCTTATCATAAACTCTTACAAAGTTATTCCTACACCATCCTACTTAAAATATCTTGTATCTAAGTTTTTTTTTTTTTTTTTTTATCTAAGTTTATCTGGACACTTAACTCTGAAATACAACCTGCGAACATAAAGTACAGAGTAATTTTGGAATTACTCTGCCAAATATTACTTCATAACATTTTCAACTGATACTAAATAATGTTGAACTTCAAGAGAAGGTCAGACACAATAGTATAGGTACAATGAGAGGACATGGGTTTGGTAGAGACAACACTTGTATCCCTCCCTGGCTCAACCCCAAATCAGTCATACAGGTGGTGAGACAGAGCAATTAAGGTGTGTGTAGCTGAGAATAGCAGAGAAGCCAAGAAAAAAACCCAGGAATTTATTGTTAACTATGGGTAATACAAGTGACATGTGGGTGTAGGTTACACTTATATTTGTACTGTAAGTTAAAAACAGTTCCCCCCTGTAGAAATATCTGCCAACTCCATATACCTGCCACTGGTGTCAGTAGCAATATATACCTCCACTGCATCATTCCTGGTGACATGCACTGTCATAGTCATGGTAACTACTGCAGTACAGAATATGGCTGTCAAAACTAACTATAACTTTACACAGCATCAGTATGTAAACGGTGTGCTATTGTCATCAGTACTATTGATCTTGTGTGGTGCACCTGATTAACCTTAAACAACATGAATTTTTCAAGGTCAACTGTTGACATTCACCTTCAAACTCTTGTTGACAACCACTTCAAGAATGCCTGTATAAATTTTGAACTGCAGGCTAGCTCGACAACCTCCTTGAGAAAGTGAGTAATCATGAATGTAGACCAACAGTTTGCAAACTGCTATATTAGGGAAAGTCTGAACATACCACAACCTCCTGAGATAGTCTGAGTCACCTTGAATGCAGACCAACTATTGACAACCCCTTGAGAAAGACTGGGTCACCTTGAATGCAGACCAACTATTGACAACCCCTTGAGAAAGACTGGGTCACCTTGAATGTCGACCAACTGTCGACAACCACTTTGAAAAAACCTGAGTCACCTTGAATGGCGACCAACTGTTGACAACATCTTAAAGGTACATCTGATTGATGTTGAATGTAAGGAATGTCCAACTGCTGAAAACCTCCTGGGGAACGACGCAGTGACTCTGAGTGTACAACAACTGCTGAAAACCTCCTGGGGAACGACGCAGTGACTCTGAGTGTACAACAACTGCTGAAAACCTCCTGGGGAACAACGCAGTGACTCTGAGTGTACAACAACTGCTGAAAACCTCCTGGAGAACGATGAAGTAACTCTGAGTGTACAACAACTGCTAAAACCTCCTGGGGAACGATGAAGTAACTCTGAGTGTACAACAACTGCTAAAACCTCCTGGGGAACGATGAAGTAACTCTGAGTGTACAACAACTGCTAAAACCTCCTGGGGAACTACGAAGTGACTCTGAGTGTACAACAACTGCTGAAAACCTCCTGGGGAACCACGCAGTAACTCTGAGTGTACAACAACTGCTAAAACCTCCTGGGGAACGATGAAGTAACTCTGAGTGTACAACAACTGCTAAAACCTCCTGGGGAACTACGAAGTGACTCTGAGTGTACAACAACTGCTGAAAACCTCCTGGGGAACCACGCAGTGACTCTGAGTGTACAACAACTACTAAAACCTCCTGGGGAACGATGAAGTAACTCTGAGTTTACAACAACTGCTAAAACCTCCTGGGGAACGATGAAGTAACTCTGAGTGTACAACAACTGCTAAAACCTCCTGGGGAACGATGAAGTAACTCTGAGTGTACAACAACTGCTAAAACCTCCTGGGGAATGATGAAGTAACTCTGAGTGTACAACAACTGCTAAAACCTTCTGGGGAACGACGAAGTAACTCTGAGTGTACAACAACTGCTGTACACCTTCTGGAGACAATAAGTGACCTTGGATGTAGACCAGTTGCTGATTATCTCTGAGGAGTGACACAACATCAACCACTGTATCGCCATGGAAAGGAACAAGTTGCCAAGCTTCCATCACTTAATCAATTACATTATCATTAATTATGCTTAATACAACATATTCTCTGCAATATTGTACAACGACTTATAAATTACCAGCCATAGACATGATAACACATTGTATGGTATAATAAGTATCATGTGCCATTAGATGGCACCATTAACATGTATAAATGACAGTGTGCACAACAGGAGCATTGTCATGTAATTTATACTTTATATTATATCTAATATGCTGATACATTTCGTTTTAGATATGGTCGTCAAATGATAAGAAAATTCAATTTGTGAGCCAGCAGAAACGTCATCCCGATGCGACATTAGCGCTTTTGTATTACAAACATACATACAATCAGTATATATGTGGGAGTATAATCAGTTGGCGTATACAGCAGAGTCTGTCAAAACACAATCACAGGAGAGGCTTTGCCAACGACAAAGCAGTGAATAGATGGATATTGACAGAAACTAGTTCCTTCATTAACAAATTATCTACCAGGAATATATTGGACAAGTATTCATAATTTAATGTTTTTCTTTTATTACCAATACTGGAAAGCTTCATTCGCAGTTCTGCTTTGGCTTGTTTTTCTCTTGTTATTGGAAACAGGGTAAAAATTTGAAAATGAGCTAAAGTTTACTGCTAGAGCTGTAAAATGTGTTTCCATTAATTTTATGGTAAATATAAAAATAACAATGACAGAATATATAAAGTTAGATGACATGGAATGGAAACCAAGAGGAAAGTTAAAGTCTATCCATATACAGCACTACATCATAATTTTAATTCAATAAAAAAGAAAGAAAATGAATGTGCCAATTTTTTAGAGCACACAACACTACAACCTGTCAAGGCCTTATTATTACAATAATACTAATCTTTATGCACTTATTATCTTGAATAGGCTTTATACAAGAAAGAAACAATTCGCAACAATTTCTTTTCAGATTTTCTACACAACATATAGTCTTACAGTACCATATAGTACCCATTAGTCTGAAGTTTTTAATACTTCAAGTTTTTGAAAGATTTCACAGTTGAAATGTCTCATTTTTCTCTGTGATATAGAAAATGGTTTATGATTTTTCTTTTTATTTTGAACTCTTACTTTTGAAATGACCTACAAAACTGAAGTTTATTCTGTTAACGATGTCATCTATTTGTGCATGTATGTTATTAAGGTAAATCTTCCTCACTTACATAAATCATGTCAAAGTTTCAAAAATTAATGATAAGAAAAAACATTCTACACCTTCCTGCAGTGAGAATAGAAATTTTTCTCACATATATGTACTTCCATATGTAAATATGCCATAACCACTTGTGCCCCTGGGGGTGTGATGAAGAACCCACAGAGCTAGGGTACACCACGTCACTGCGGGACCCACAACAGTACCTTCTCCAAAATCTACTGTTACAGAGGAAAGAAAAATTCCTGAATTCTACACATTATGTAAAAATCTAAATGTGTTATGTCAACTGAAAGTGTAAGAATTCTGAGCGATACAGCATCAGAATCCTATAAGAAAACACTGTCTTATTGTTCTAGTCCAGAAAGTGCTGAACACCTCAAACAACAAACACAAATAAATGTCACAAAGGATTTCATTTCCAGCAATACTTTATCCTGTGAGTGTTTTATACCAACATGCCTGTAATCAGTGTAGGAACATATTACCTCACTGATATTCAACCAGACATTAAGTCCTTCACTAGAGCTCAATTTAAATCAAAGAACCGCTATCAAATTCATTTTCAATTAATTCAAAAAGATGAAAAAGCTTTTATCTGAAATTTTATTCCATTAAGCATGCATGATGAATCTTTCATGAGACAGGTGATATATTCTATATTTCAGTTATTTTTCATGTTATCTGAAATTTTATTGCTGTGGACCAGCTTTATGAATGTTTCATGAGACAGGTGATATATTTATCATTCTAGATATGTTCAGATATTTCACAGTATATTGTTTTTTCTTTATCATTATGATCAATACCTTTGAAATCTGAGAACCTGGTCCACATCCTTCAAAAAAAATCTATAAAGGTACATAATGTATGACCTTAATGTACTGGAGCTACCTTGAGTATACTCACCATCCAGACCATAAGGCTTGAATACTCTTCTCTCTGTCAATATAGAGAGGGTCAGCTGCTTCCTAAATAGGTACTCCCGTATAACACCATCTCCACCATTGTGCTGCCCCCTACCCCCTGTTCTGGGGTTTAAGTGAAACCGCTTCACAATCACCGGGTATCTACAATTTTTTTTACAATGTACTGCATACAAATGAAACTATCTATAAATAGATATCAAATAAATTAACACCATGTTTCATTAATTTTGGTGGATAGAAACTGTGACCTTGACATTAAAACCTGTAACAAGAACATATCCAAGGTTTTGTTGACTTTTTGAATCAGGAAATAAGGCTGACAGAGTGACGCCAATGAATGAGAGAGTGGTGTCCTTAGGGAACACTATTTATACTTGGTGGGGACATAAAAATAAAATTCCTCATACAGTCAGAAACCTTTGTGTAAAACTATAATGGATAGACTGACTCAGGTGCTTCAATGAAGTTTAATTAAAATTCCTAAAGCTATCAGTACTGTCTGAGTAATATTGTAACAGTTATTATTTTGAATTGGGTCTATTTTCAATATTTTCCAGTACGGAATAGATTTGTGAAAAAATCAGTTACTTAGAAGGAGAAAAGTTTTAAAAAGACATCTTAGCCCTTCTATCATTTCCACAAAGTTCCTCTGTTTGCTTTAAGCTTTTCTTAATTTGTGAAATATACAACCATGGCAGTAACTGACACTTACTGAATAGAAGACAAGTATAACGAACTGGATGTAAAATTTAGAAATCTCGTATGATTACTCAAAGTGTAAAGCATTTTGGTTACTTTTACAAATTGAATTTCTGAAGTGAGAAAACAGTGACACTTCTGTAGAAGTCAATATCACCTCCTCTCCAGAATCTCAACATCTGTGATCCGTGTGTTGGTCATGTGACTGTGAACGCCACTCCTTCCATCCCAAGTCGCACCCTGCAATTATAAAACATTACATATTCACACTGAGAAGTAAAGCATGATGTTAGTGAACAACACAGGAAGAAATTTTAAGTTGATTCTATCAAGAGAACATTTTCTTCTTCTTTAATTCATTAACTGAGCACACCACAGATTTTATAGTGGTATACAAATTAAAAATGTTTGAAAATTATGCTATGGATTCTCTTTTGTATACTGAATTTCCTTTTTTTTTTTTTTTTGCAGTGAATGTTTTGGCTGTACTTTCGGTCTCTTCCTGGCATCTATGAAGGCATAAAATTAACATACAAACCTATATGCATTAACCTACCAGATGTTTAACATGCTTTAAAATACAAACCTTACGATCACCATTAAATATTTAGCATTAAAATCTCTATAAATCAAAAATAAATATAACACATGGCTTCTTTTTCTTTGCATAAGGGAAAGTTCAAAAGTGTATGAGAATGTAAACTAGTGATGTATTTGGACATTAATGAGTGATAATAAGGAGTGAATGAATTAAGACCATGTTGTCTACACACTGAGCTGATAATCACACATTCCAACACAAAACATATCCAGGTGCCTGAATGCTAGCCTCGGCTACAAAACCCCTATCAAAATTTGTCATAATTCAGAGAAATCCATGTAAATCAGCACTTCCCTTGCACCTCATACTTCAATATGTCCATGAAGTAAGTTTCAATTTGTAGCCTTGAAAGTAATACTTACCAGACAGACCATATCAACTTTACTTATTAATTGACTTTGAGATGCTGCAGTAAATGTTGCTTTAACTTGATGTTATTTTTTCTAACTCTTGTAATTTTTCACATTGGATCAAAAGCAGTTTTTCAAAAACTCGTCTTCTTTTTAATGATGAAAGACAAATCCAATCAGAATTGCTTTTACTTAATTAATATTGCATGTCAGCAATTTTAAACATTCTATCGTCACTGTGATGGAAGGTTTTTATTGTTACTGTTCTATATTGTATCTACATTTATTACAGGTCTACTCTAACCATAAATACAGGAATAAGTGGCCTCTGAGGCAGATATCATATGTAGTTCTCTCTCACTGCCAGTCTCATCTCTAGAGGCACCAGTTGTAATTTGATGTTATTTGTAAAACACATTTACCCTCAAAGTAAATTGTTTACAATTCAAAGTTTCCCATCAAACCAAAATGCTTCAACTTCAAAGGAAACCAGGCCCTGTTATTTGACAGTATATCCTAGGATTGCCACGGAGATATAATTAATTAAACATCTCCTCATTAAACATTTAAAGTTCCTCTCGACACTTCACTATTTTATATAGAAAAAAAAATACAGAAGAAAAATAGCCTTGCATCACTATAGCAGAAATCTATATACATTTGTGCAGCGAGATGTAAAGGATTTTATACCTTCTGGCTGAGATAGATTCACACACAAAGACAAAATGTGAATGAACTGACACTATTAATGGAAGTTTCATCAGATAGACTTTAAAATGGCTACCTGATTCAGGTGATAGAGTGTCAGGATTAACTCATCTCAGTAGACTTAGTAGAATGCTCTACAAACTAGGGTCTGATAAGTGTTATTAGGACATCTCTAAGGTGATAGAGATTTGACCAGATAGAGAATTCTGAGTCAGAAATTTGCCTAAAACCTCAAGTGCATTCACTTGTTTTTGTGTTAAATGGAGGAAAAAAGACTTTTAGAATGAAGTTACTTTGATTTGTGAATTCTATGAGGAAGTGAATTAGCTAAGTGCACCAATGTTTGTCTTAAATGCATGATTTTTTGCTTTTTTTCTTATAACAATTTCAAAAACATTTACAATCAACATCTTAAATGTTTAGTTAATTTTTGCCAGCTTCTCATCTCAGTGACATAACATATTGTTGGGCATCGTCTCACCAACAAACATCAGTGTTCTGGCAATGTTCAAACCTGTAAATCACCTATCCTAATACAGTACATGTAAAACGTGCTGAGTTAAATACGATCTTAATGTACCTAAAAGTAGGTTATCATACCCTAGTTTAATAAACCAGTATATTGGTATATGATGGTGTGATGGTTTGGACAACAGGAACACTAATTACAGAGAAGTACACACACTGATTGTCTTAAGTATATGACAACAGTGCCATACAACAGGTAACCACACACAGATCTCCCTTTTTGATGGAATGTAGGTCGTTGTGACCTCGTGGCACTGACACTCTACTCATAAGACAATCCACAGCTGATTTGATTCTCATGCTACCTTTAAGAAGCATAGGCCAGCTGCTGTATATATAACAATGCTATCTATGTAACTTGTAATGAAAATTTCAGGTTCATTTCTTCTCATCCTGATTGTAAAGCTCTCTTCTCTGGGATATTTTTCATTACACACACAATTATTAATTCCCCTGCTAATAAACCTATAGGATTTGTACTATCTCTATTGTCTCTATATTGTAATCACTCTATTTCATGGTCTCCTTCACCTGATTAATATAATGGTTGTCTCCCCTAACTTGAATCTTTTATGATTTATTTGTTGTCTTCCCTGACTTGTAGCAGCATACTTGTTATCACTCTTGACTTGAAGTAGGAGTCGCCCTTGACATAGTGGTTGTCTTCCCCTGACTTCAAACAGTTGGTCTCTTCTGCAATATTGGAAGCCTGACAGTCCCTAGATATGTCTTAATACTGGACCATGCACCTGGACAATCCATTTAAAGACATATTTCTACTTCAATATCTTGTTTTCTTACCAAACAGGGTAGGTAAAAGAAATAAATTCAAGCATGACACTCACTAAAGGTTCTGTGGTGTGTGGTGATATCATATGACATGCATGAAATTTATTCTAAACACTTACTGCCCCTGCTCCTCCGGCCACTGTCTCATAATGTCCAAATGCCTCATCCCCAAAAGTGATATTGTTCATACAACCCTGAAAAAGTGATGATAAATTTAGTATCAATCTCATCAACTACAATCAGGAAACAAAGGGCAGTATTTTCTGTGTTGACTGATGGGATGGATAGCAATGCATATTTTCTGGCTACGCTGCTTCACTTGCAATTTAAATTGACAGAAAATTTAACACTGCAAAAACTATTTCTTGCAAACATTAAATTCACACTTAGCTGTACATCAAATCTTTTAAAGTTGTATTATGGTTATTGTTAACACACTACTTAAATCACACTAAAAATGGATGCTTTTAAGGGATATTAAATAAAATTAGAAAATGGCTTGAAAGACATAAAGGCCCCCATTTCCTGCAAATAAATACCAACAATAGACTTTTCTATAAATGATTAATTTGACCTTAACCTTTGAGCCCCATAATAGGAACACATCTTAGGATTTTTATATGACACCTGCATCCCATAAAATGGCAAGGACATACAAAATGAAGTAGGGTAAACTGCAATCCCATTGTAGACATTTCTATGCTATTCTCTGTAGTTGGTTTTCCCTAACCATGGAGGAATCACAACCATACTGAATTTTTTTTAATCTCCTTTAATTAAGTTCACTCCACTAACAAAGTAAATGAAGGTGTAAGGAAGGAATTCAGCAGAACACAAATCAGTACAGTAACTCTGGGGTCAATTTAGAACATGTAAACCAAATGATGATGTAGTGACCAGATAAACAACACAAATACAATAAAAACTAGCGGTATACCTGGACAGATTTAGACAAAACAGATATTCCTGGATCTGTGATATGTTACTTAATCACCATAGAAGTATTTAGTTAGTTACAATAATCTTCTCTTCCTTTAACACAAAGTTATGCCCATGCTACATTTTGTAGGTAATTTGTAACAAATTTTAAAATGTCAAATTTAAACCAGATTACTCGGCTAAGGAAGATAAATGTGTGAGAAAATTATGCTAAAAGGCAATACTTTACCAGGAAGGGTACCACTAATGCAGTTTAAATGAGCTTTGACAAAAACATATTTTTCATGTCTAATCCTGCAGGTTACTGGTATGGAAATGGATAGGAGTAATGGTGTGAGGGCAGGGGGTAAAAGAAGGATCAACTGAAGGAAAGTAGGAGGGAGTGAGGAGTTAGAGGGAAAACGGAGAGGACTCACAAGATTTATTGAAAAAGGGAGGGGATAAGAACTGATATTGTTATAAGTGGAAGAGGAAAAGCAGTATCAGTAGCAAGAGGCAAGAAGATCACAGAGACAAGAACAAGAGGAGGTCAACAGGGACAGGAATAGGAGCAACAAGAGGATCACAGAGACAAGAACAAGAGGAGGTCAACAGGGACAGGAATAGGAGCAACAAGAAGATCACAGAGATAAGAACAAGAGGAGGTCAAAAGGGACAGTAATGGGACAACAAGAAGATCACAGAGACAAGAACAAGAGGAGGTCAACAGGGACAGGAATAGGAGCAACAAGAAGATCACAGAGACAAGAACAAGAGGAGGTCAACAGGGACAGGAATAGGAGCAACAAGAAGATCACAGAGACAAGAACAAGAGGAGATCAACAGGGACAGGAATAGGAGCAACAAGAAGATCACAGAGACAAGAAGAAGAGGAGGTCAACAGGGACAGGAATAGGAGCAACAAGAAGATCACAGAGACAAGAACAAGAGGAGGTCAACAGGGACAGGAATAGGAGCAACAAGAAGATCACAGAGACAAGAACAAGAGGAGGTCAACAGGGACAGGAATAGGACAACAAGAAGATCACAGAGACAAGAACAAGAGGAGGTCAACAAGGACAGGAATAGGAGCAACAAGAAGATCACAGAGACAAGAACAAGAGGAGGTCAACAGGGACAGGAATAGGAGCAACAAGAAGATCACAGAGACAAGAACAAGAGGAGGTCAACAAGGACAGGAATAGGAGCAACAAGAAGATCACAGAGACAAGAACAAGAGGAGGTCAACAGGGACAGGAATAGGAGCAACAAGAAGATCACAGAGACAAGAACAAGAGGAGGTCAACAGGGACAGGAATAGGAGCAACAAGAAGATCACAGAGACAAGAACAAGAGGAGGTCAACAGGGACAGGAATAGGAGCAACAAGAAGATCACAGAGACAAGAACAAGAGGAGGTCAACAGGGACAGGAATAGGAGCAACAAGAAGATCACAGAGACAAGAACAAGAGGAGGTCAACAGGGACAGGAATAGGAGCAACAAGAAGATCACAGAGACAAGAACAAGAGGAGGTCAACAGGGACAGGAATAGGAGCAACAAGAAGATCACAGAGACAAGAACAAGAGGAGGTCAACAGGGACAGGAATAGGAGCAACAAGAAGATCACAGAGACAAGAACAAGAGGAGGTCAACAGGGACAGGAATAGGAGCAACAAGAAGATCACAGAGACAAGAACAAGAGGAGGTCAACAGGGACAGGAATAGGAGCAACAGGTTTATTAGCAGAAAAAAGAACAAGAGGAGGTCAACAGGGACAGGAATAGGAGCAACAAGAAGATCACAGAGACAAGAACAAGAGGAGGTCAACAGGGACAGGAATAGGAGCAACAAGAAGATCACAGAGACAAGAACAAGAGGAGGTCAACAGGGACAGGAATAGGAGCAACAAGAAGATCACAGAGACAAGAACAAGAGGAGGTCAACAGGGACAGGAATAGGACAACAAGAAGATCACAGAGACAAGAACAAGAGGAGGTCAACAGGGACAGGAATAGGAGCAACAAGAAGATCACAGAGACAAGAACAAGAGGAGGTCAACAGGGACAGGAATAGGAGCAACAAGAAGATCACAGAGACAAGAACAAGAGGAGGTCAACAGGGACAGGAATAGGAGCAACAAGAAGATCACAGAGACAAGAACAAGAGGAGGTCAACAGGGACAGGAATAGGAGCAACAAGAAGATCACAGAGACAAGAACAAGAGGAGGTCAACAAGGACAGGAATAGGAGCAACAAGAAGATCACAGAGACAAGAACAAGAGGAGGTCAACAGGGACAGGAATAGGAGCAACAAGAAGATCACAGAGACAAGAACAAGAGGAGGTCAACAGGGACAGGAATAGGAGCAACAAGAAGATCACAGAGACAAGAACAAGAGGAGGTCAACAGGGACAGGAATAGGAGCAACAGGTTTATTAGCAGTGACAAGAACAAGAGGTCAACAGGGACAGGAATAGGAGCAACAGGGTTATTAGCAGAAACAACAACAGTGGAAATAAAGGAGCAATAGCCACAGAAGTCCATGGCTTTTCCATGGATGTTGTCCATGGAATTTATTTTGTCCGTGTATTTTCCATGGAATATACCAATTTTCCACAGAAAAGTTGACTTTCCATGGAAATAAGTTTTTTTCTTTGGAAAATGTACGGTCGGACAGGGAAGGAAACAGATACAACACTAACCTAGTAACAGACAGGGATGTGAAGAATTGGGGAACTTTGTACATAGTGATAAGGTAGTAACCCCAGTTACAAGGACAGAGAGGGTGGGGACCAAGATGGGGAGATTCTGTAACTATTGGTGATAGAGTATGGTTCCTAGAACTAGTAACAATGGCAGTCAGGCAGGGGACCAGATGGGGAGATTCTGTAACTATTGGTGATAGAGTATGGTTCCAAGAACTAGTAACAGTGGCAGACAGGCAGGGGACCCAGATGGGGAGATTCTGTAACTATTGGTGATAGAGTATGGTTCCTAGAACTAGTAACTGACAGACAGGGAGGGACCCAGATGGGGAGATTCTGTAACTATTGGCGATAAAATATGGTTCCTAGAACCACTAACAGTGGCAGACAGGGAGGGAACCCAGATGGGGAGATTCTGTAACTATTGGTGATAGAGTATGGTTCCAAGAACTAGTAACAGTGGCAGACAGAGAAGGGAACAGATTGGTAAATTCTGTAACTATTGGTTATAAAGTATGGTTCCTAGAACTAGTAACAGTGGCAGACTGGGAGGGGAACAGATGGGGAGATTCTGTAACTATTGGTGATAAAGTATGGTTCCTAGAACTAGTAACAGTGGCAGACTGGGAGGGGAACAGATGGGGAGATTCTGTAACTATTGGTGATAAAATATGGTTCCTAGAACTACTAACAGTGACAGACAGGCAGGGGACCCAGATGGGGAGACTCTGTAACTCTTGGTGATAGAGTATGGTTCCAAGAACTTGTAACAGTGGCAGACAGGCAGGGGACCCAGATGGGGAGATTCTGTAACTATTTGTGATAGAGTATGGTTCCAAGAACCACTAACAGTGGCAGACAGGGAGGGGAACAGATGGGGAGATTCTGTAACTATTGGTGATAGAGTATGGTTCCAATAACTAGTAACAGTGGCAGACAGGCAGGGGACCCAGATGGGGAGATTCTGTAACTATTGGCGATAGAGTATGGTTCCTAGAACTAGTAACAGTGGCAGACAGGGAGAGGAACTGATGGGGAGATTCTGTAACTATTGGTGATAAAGTATGGTTCCTAGAACTAGTAACAGTGGCAGACAGAGAAGGGAACAGATTGGAAAATTCTGTAACTATTGGTTATAAAGTATGGTTCCTAGAACTAGAAATAGTGGCAGTCAGGGAGGAGAACAGATAGGGAGATTCTGTAACTATTGGTGATAAAGTATGGTTCCTAGAACTAGTAACAGTGGCAGACAGAGAAGGGAAAAGATTGGAAAATTCTGTAACTATTGGTTATAAAGTATGGTTCCTAGAACTAGAAATAGTGGCAGTCAGGGAGGAGAACAGATAGGGAGATTCTGTAACTATTGGTGATAAAGTATGGTTCCTAGAACAAGTAACAGTGGCAGACAGGGAGAGGAACTGATGGGGAGATTCTGTAACTAGTGTTGATAAGAGTATACTGCATCTAGCAACAGACAGGGAGGGGAACAGATGGGGAAATTCTGTAACTAGTGTTGATAAGAGTACTATTCCTAGTAACAGACAGGGAGGGGAACTGATGGGGAGATTCTGTAACTAGTGTTGATAAGAGTACTGTGCTTAGTAACAGACAGGGAGGGGAACTGATGGGGAGATTCTTTAACTAGTGTTGATAAGAGTACTATGCTTAGTAACAGACAGGGAGGGCAACTGATGGGGAGATTCTGTAACTAGTGTTGATAAGAGTACTGTGTCTAGTAACAGACAGGGAGGGGAACAGATGGGGAAATTCTGTAACTATTGTTGATAAGAGTACTGTGCTTAGTAACAGATAGGGAGGGGAACAGATGGGGAAATTCTGTAACTAGTGTTGATAAGAGTACTGTGTCTAGTAACAGACAGGGAGGGGAACAGATGGGGAAATCTGTAACTAGTTTTGATAAGAGTACTGTGTCTAGTAACAGATTGGGAGGGGAACTGATGGGGAGATTCTGTAACTAGTGTTGATAAGAGTACTGTGCTTAGTAACTCACACAGAAGGGGACAGATGGGGAGATAATTCAATACAGCTGTACAGATTCCTCTTAAGTACTTCTGATGTTCCTGACAATTTGTTTAAATCTAAAGTGATATCAATCTTCCAGTTATTTATATCCATCATTATTATACAATTTCTGGGAGATGATTTGATTACAGTAGGAAGCAAGGTACCCACAGCAGCATTGAGTTATCTCAATCAGAACCACACAGAAAAGGCAAAAAGTGCCAAAATATTCAGTTCTTCATCGCTAACTCAGACAACTGATATAAAACCTTGAAGTTTATTCTGTTTGATTTTAGTCTTATCAAATAATCTTTCATTTGTCATAGTAAGAGTAGTCTAATACATCCTGAAGCATAAAATGAGATATATAACGTTGTTGATTCTGAGAGAAATATATTCACCGATGTCTTAATAAATAACTGCAATGCCCTTAAATTGTTTTAACTATTACAATTACTTCCCATGGTGTTTTCCAAATCCTTGTAAACAACAAACCAAAATGAATATACAAACATTTGAATCACTAGAGCTGTAATCCCCAGGATTACTAATACCCCCTGCAGAGGTAACGACCTCTATATAGCAAATTTGGTTGAAACCCATTGGAAAAAGAAGTCAAAAACTGTTTGAAAATTTAATTAGGCGATTCCAGTATAACACCCCCTCCCCACAACACCCCCACCCCCATACCACCACCACCAACTTAATTGCGGGGGGTGGGGTTGGGGGATGGGGGGAGTCAAGGGGAGATGGGGGGTGGGGGATAGGAGGGGTGGTGGTTTTAGTCAACAAACATTATTTTCAGCTTCCAAAATTTTATTAGATTATTAACCATCAAGGAAAAACATTAAAGATAAAATTGAAATCATGGCAAAAGTTTATCATCGACTAATGGAATACAAATAACAACAGCCAGCCTTACTAAAATACACAATATTGTAAACTCATATGATATAGATTACTTCAGTGTTATGTGTTTCAGCTGTCACAATGTTCTGATTTCTACACAATCACTTATCATGTAGACTACATTACAGGTGTAACAAGCTTGCCTGCATGAAAACTTGAAAAGAAAAGATAGTATTCAACTTAAGATACACAAGCATACTGTAGTATGACCAGGGAGGGTCAAGGACAGTTTCTGGCAATACAACATCAAATGTTGTGTCTAATCAATTTATTAGTTAATACTGATCCTTTCAAAATAATGGCAAAATTGGAATGTTTAAAATTTTTGAAAGTTGATACAACAAGCACACCATTGTCAAAGCTTTTCAATTATTGAACATGAAATGTCCTAGGAGAGATCATCTTATTCTGTAAATCTTTGTTTTAAAGTTAACATCAACAACAAACACTATAGCTTAAAGAAAACAATTATCATGGGTGGTGCAGCTCAGAAAGTTGAAAGCACTAGAACTTTTACAAGTGTTGAGGAATAACTATGTGGTTCAGGATATCATTGTATCAAATGATATTTCTGTGTTTTTAAACTGCTTTGATATATAGCTATATAAGAAGTAATACACTAGTGTTGCATGTCTGTAGATAAAGCTTTAGATGAATATTTACATACGAAGATCAGGCTTGTGTAATAATGTAAGAATTTCTAAATTTCATATAAACTTGTAAGATGTCTAGATGTATTTGCAAAAAATTAAATAACAACAAATGTAATCATGTAATTATGTGCTCTTGGAACTACCTGTATTTCGTTATCAAGGCGTTGTCGATGACAACCAAGTAGCACTACCTACTACTTCCTGTATAATTTCGCAGTTCAATTAATATCATCACAGTTCTAATGATGTCTAAAAAGCACTTTGTTATTTTTTTATAATGTTTATGAAAATATGTGGTTAACAAATGTAAATTAAAGGAATGTTGTTTATTTTCAGTAAGTGCATCAAAGTATACCAACATGTGTGTAACTACATACGTTACATCCATGTTGCGCTAAGGAATTTATCACCTTCAGTAAGTCTAATCATCCCCTTCTAACATTAACACCAGGGGATTTCAGGATTTCCATCAAGTAAATGCTTTATTTGAACTTTTATATTGAAAAACTGGTTTGTTAGATCTTAATACCACTAGTTTAAGTTTAATAGTTTAAGAAAAATTTAAGCAGCTTATGAAATATATATTTAAGTCACATTATTGTTCTATGTTACTATAAAAAAAATTAAATATATTACTCTCTGGTTTTTCTTGTTGTTATAAAAATTTAGTGAACCTCTGACAAGTGATATTCACTTCAACAACCCTGCAGTGAATTATGCTTTTCTTGGGTACATAAATCCCAGTCTGAATCTCATGTAAAGTCAAAGATTGTTTAAAAATATAGGATCTGACATTAGACCACACACAAAGATCCTCGCACAAATCCATATTGTGGTTGATTATAGAATTACTGCCAGTTAATACTCTGCTATATTGCATAATTAAATAAATTTGACAAGGGGAGTGGAGAGTCATACAAATTTTGGTTAAAACAGACACCCCCTTCCGAAATTTGAAAAAAACACCTGAAAATACGAGCCTGGTGTAAAATCGAAGAAAATGATAAATACAATCAAATGTACATCCTTTATCATATTATATATTAATTAACTTGCAAAAAGCCCATGGGGCAGAAATATTATCTTTCATTCAAAGTTTAAGGGTTGGCTTATTAAATCACAGGATTTAAATTAATGTTTGATTTTCATTCTACACAACAATTAAAGTTATTGACGGGTTTATTTCTTGGCATCGTCTGTAGAAATTATTTTCCGTAAGAGCCTTGTGTTTCCTTTATCTAACACCAGTAAGGAAACGTGTACACAACCATCAGGATATTGGCAATACAAGTTTTTAAATCTTGTGTTGATTATTAAAAATTACACATGAATGCCAACAAATTTTAACTTAAATATATGAGCAAATAAAACCAGGACATAGTTCTGTAAAGAAATAGAGTTTTGTGCCAAAGGTTTTTATGGGTGATATGTATTGAATGTAAAAGTTTAGAAAACTTTAACACTACAAAGACCGCAACGTTATTATATAAAATTCTGCTTCTCTGTGAAACTATTTCACTTAATAATCCCTGAGATTTTGGAGGTAGTAAACTTCAGTCTGCATTCCCACTACACACCACTTGTGAGTGGATTTTAGTACAGAATATAGGTTGATAATGATAAGGTGTATTAAAATAAATACCATGTTTTACAGTCAATACACCCATCATCTTTTGTATACTTGTGTATTACCTCACTAGATGTTGGCAGTAAACCTTGGTTGATGAAGATGGTGAGGTGGTGCAGTGGCAACACCTTCACTTTTCATCGAGGTGATCTGAGTTCAATTCCTCATTCATATAAGTGTAAAGTTTTCAAATTGTTGTAAAATAAAAGTTGATAAATTGAAGTTCACGATTTATAAGATCATGGCTCTATCATTTGGTGATTAGATGTAAGAGGTCTTATCACTGAACAAGGGCTGGATAGATACAGTTCTTTTATATCTGGACTAAAAAAGAAAATGGCTGCAGATGGGTTGAGAATAGAATTCTTCATTTTTCAACTGATTTGATAAAATTAATTTCTGCTGGTGTGTATAAAGGGAGATAACTCCCGCAGTCTAAATTACCTGGGAGGCAGCACAAGCTCCAAATGCTTTAAGTATAACGTCCACAATTCTCTGAGATGTCAGAACATTTCCCCCAACAACAGCTGCGTTCTCTGAAGGGTCAAGAATACTCCCTGTTGGTATGATGGCTTTGACAGGTTTGAGACAGCCCTGTGTGGATACAAATGTATTCCATATCATTTCAAATTTTGATTACAACTGAATATTATAATTGATTAATCTAATTAAAATTTGATGTTCAATTTAACTCCATATGGATTTATATAATGGTAAATTGACATCCATTTTAAGCTACATATTAACACTTACTATAAGTTTATTCATATATCATTGCATTAACAAAGCTGGTAGCTCTTCCATTCAGATATGTTGTCATATGAACACAACATTCAATCTAAATTAAGGTGGAGAAAACACAGTTGTGCATAAAATGTTAATTTTGTAGAACAAACAGATCAAATCTGCCTGTGTAAAGTAGAAACTAGGTTAATGTATTAAATCTGAAAATAAGAGATCAAAGTTCTTTCTTTTATATAAGAGCATTTTTCTTGAACTTGAAAAAGAATGGTTGATCAGTGATGGCTTACTGCATGCAAAACAAAATTAATGTACCTGTTATATATTTCATAAAACCTATTATCCTTATATGCATAATTGGTGCTAACTTTACCTGGTTCAGTGGAACATCATGGCCAACCATACATCTCAGACAGTAGATCAGGGCAGACAGAGTTACTGCCCTTGGAGCATTACAGTTGCCATGGACTTCAAATGACGTGCCACTGAAATCAATCATTCCTGTTCCCTGTAACAACAAAAGAGGAGAAACTTCACTGTGAGTTTGTTGTAAAAATATTCCAGAACAATCATCTTTTATTTATTGAAGAAGATTAAAATGTTTCCTAAAAAAGAATTAAAATGATATAGTCAATGTTAAATTTTATCAAATAAGCTCAACAATACAGAATTTATGACTATTACCACACAATAGGCCTGTTGTCAAGTGAATTCGCCCATTTCATGTTTTTGCCACTAGTATGATATACCCTGGAGCATTTTGGCTACACCAGTCAGAAATTGTATAATGTCATAATATGGATAATGATATTATGTCATAAATTGAATAAGTGCAACAAAATAGCTACCTCCATCAATTTTTCCCTCCGAATTTTGAATTTAAAACCTTATTTTTCTGAGCTATGTGATAAAAAGTTTCATTTGTTGTGATTATATGAAACTCGGGAGATGAGCATATCTGTGGATATGAATTAATATTTGATTATTATTCCTCTGAAAAGTACTAATGGACTTATCACCAGAGGTGGGCTTATTTCTGGATAGGTACGATGTTGTGACAAACCTTTCCTTCATCTATTTCTACATCAAGGGAAATCTTTGACCCATCATCCATGAATTCCTCAGCGGTCAGTCTGGACTGACCAGTCTTTTGTTTGGTTTTACGAGCAATCTCGCGCAACATTTCTTGTACGGCTATCTCAGCGTTTGTCTACAACGAAACGATAATTAACTGTATAGCAAAGTGATTTACAACACCAATACAGTATTTAATTCAGCTTTCATCAGATCTACATATAGTAATATTTCTAACGATGGCTTGTAACTTTTTAGTATTTTAGTAACTACATGTATAAGTATACTAGAAGCAAACACTTAGAGAGGTTGTACATTAGTTATAAAAAACTCTCTCCTTTTGACTTTAACAAAGTAATACCTACGTGTGGCAAAGGTGTGTAACATACACAAAGGTATAATTTAATGCATGCTAGTAGCTATAACAGATGGTACCTGTATATGGCCCATGTAAGCCTGCACAACATCCAGACCGTACTCATCTATCAGCTCATTTATCAGCCGGATGCCCTGTAAAAAATATGTATCTAGTCAAACCTAAAGCATATAAATGGTTTTGGTAGGGGATGCATTTTGTGGGCGAAAGTGACCATATGATAAGGGAGGGTTATTTCTTGCATGTTGAAATCTGCATGTTGTCCTAACACTTAATGGGTTTCACATCCACTATCACAGCTTTTCAGTGGACGAGATGTTGTCCTGTTATATCCTCGTCTAAACTAGTCAAAAAAATGTTCAATTCATGAAGAGGTAGCATTGCAATTATACACTAATACACAATGCTTTCTGTAAGAAGTTTGATTATGATATGATTATGTAATGATGAGGATGAAAATAATGTTTTACAGTCATCATAAAGATATAAATGGGAAATATTGTATTTCCTTAAAAACTATGAACAAGTTTAATGTTTGTCTTATTTGATAACATAACATTGGTTACTTGGATTGATGAAGATTTACATGGCAGGTGTTGTTGATGAAGCAGAAGATGCTTACACTTCAGAAATACCTGGTTTTATTCTTTGAATGAATTAGAGTTTGTATTATGATTCTGCTGACATTTTGGTATTTTCTCCACACACAATACAACGTAATTTATGCTAAGAAAAAGCAATGAAATAACCAAAACCCACAAATAATTTCCGTTCCAATGACTGACCTTTTGGTTAGCTGCTACCTGGGCCTTGAGGTCACTCAGGTTGTCATGGAGATTCCTGGTACCACTGCTGCCTGGATACCTGCCAGGCTCCATGAGAGCTGCAGTCACCTCTACAAGTCAATGAATTAAGATGTCTATACCCTATATTAAAGGTTTGTTTTAAACTTGACTATCAAGAGATATGCATATCATTTACAAAATATCTTTAAAGGGAAGCTTAATTGACATCAATATCCATACCATAAAACCACATTGTTTTTATCTTCCTGTTACCTTAATTGGCATTTTTCCACAAGAGTCAGAAATAGTATTGGTTATATTTACATCCAAACACTAATTACTGTTATTTTTATTCATCATTGATCATTGGTTCATTAAAAACATACATGTTCACACTTTGCCTGATCACAAACTTTTTGTTAAGTAAATAAAGTAATTAAGTTAACAGATAAAAAATTTAGTGAAGAAACAGCAATTGAAAACAAATTATAAAGCGGCTTCACTTTACCATTGGGGGTGGGGGTGAGTCATATCACCATAATGGTGAAATGAACCGTAGTTCACTTTACCATGGGGGGTTGGGGGTGGGTCATTTCACCATAATGGTTCACTTTACCATGTGCTTCACTTTACCATACTACACCCAAGTATTTGTCATACATATATTAGTATACTATTGCAAATATAGAGGACCAGACAACATCGGTAGGAAGAATTTGTTTAATATTTCGGCATGCTAGGTATGCCTTCCTCAGAACCTAATATGCTGAAACATGTCAACCATTTAACGGTTTTAATTCTTCCTACGAATGTTGTCTGATCCTCTATATTTGCTGTTTACACATCTTTGAGCCAGACTCCTGTATCCCACTAGGAATCTATCCTAGGTAGACTGTCGATATTACTGAGTCTACCAGACCAGATGTTGGATCTCGATTTCTTTGTTTTAGTATACTACTGTAAAACAAAGGTGTACACACCAATATGGTTTTAAACAGTTATACTTAACATGACTCTCTTTACCTTCCTCCATGAACACCCCTCCTTTCACTAGCATGAAGGATTTAAACACAGCACCTTCTTCGTGTATAGATTTTGAATGTGGTGGCATGGAGCCTGGAGTTATCCCCCCTATATCTGCATGATGTCCACGGCTTGCCACAAAGAAAACAGGTCTTGGCACATTATGATAAAATACCTGTAAGATAAGGACAAGCAGTCACATAACCTTTTGTCTTCTTGTTTGTTTGCTTAACATTATGATTACACACTCTCGTTTCACACACTGTAAAACTGTCCTGGTGCACATACAAATCACACTGTGTCATTAGTATCACTTACCAATCCTTCCTATCCAGGAAAAAGATTCCATGCTCCCATACAACCACAACTTATCTGATACACTTTTTATCTGATATCAAAAACATCACAGGAGAATTTCCTGTTATAAATATCATATCTTAACACAGTGTATTCCCTCTAGCCAGATACACTTTTGCAGATTTAGAATCTCACCTCATCCCAATACCGAAGGATTTTGCAGGGACAATTTTAGGGAGTATATTCACGATCAGAAAGAAGCCAGTTTAGAGTGATTTGATTATAGAAATGAATTTGGACAATGTGAGATCAGATGACGAAGTTGATGTTTTTACCGGTGTGATAACAGTCAGATCGGGCAGGTGACTTCCCCCCGCCTGTGGATGGTTTGACAGAATCACATCCCCATCTTGTATACTTGATCCGAGCTCTCGAAGCTGTCAAGAGAAAAAAAAAAGTTTAAAAAGTCAACTAATGCTGTAGTGAAAATGTTTTTTTGTTTATAATTCAGAGATAAAGCAATTTCTAGTAGGTTACTCATTGTCTTAAACTTCATGTTGCAATATCAAAAACCAATTTTTCCAACCTGTACTCTGACTACAAATATAACATACAGTTGATGTATTCCCACTGAAAGGTTAGGCCTTCAGTGGATCTCTATTGACGATGTCCCATTAGGTTATTGGACCAATTAGTTAGAATTTCTGTCTATATACTCACCTGGTACTGAACTGTCTCCTGCATGGCTCCCAGGTGTACAGGGATGTGTGGAGCATTGGCCACTAGTCCCCCGTCAGGACCAAACATAGCACATGAGAAGTCCAGTCGCTCCTAAATACACATTCCAGTACATCTATTAAACTAAAAGTATCTACCAAGTCATAAGCATATGTATAACTAGTTTTCAACAATGTTATAGGCCTGTTGTGTCTCTAGTTTTATAATGTAACAGGTCTGTTGTACCTGTTGTGTCTCTAGTTTTATAATGTAACAGGTCTGTTGTACCTGTTGTGTCTCTAGTTTTATAATGTAACAGGTCTGTTGTACCTGTTGTGTCTAGTTTTATAATGTAACAGGTCTGTTGTACCTGTTGTGACACTAGTTTTATAATGTAACAGGTCTGTTGTACCTGTTGTGTCTCTAGTTTTATAATGTAACAGGACTGTTGTGTCTCTAACTTTATTGAAGTCTTACTGAGTTTGGGTCTACAACTGTTTCCCAGTTCATCTTACCTTGATATTAGTGGAGATGGATGTTCTCTGTAGTACCCTGAAGAAGTACAAATAACTTAGACACAACACTTAATCATATAACATTGTGATAGATTATATATGTATTAACAATATTGCACATTTACAGGTATTTCATCACAGATAACAAACATACTGAGTATTGCTGAAGCAATACATGTCCCCTACCAGCCCACACAAACTATTACATTGTGATGATTTTAAAAATTTTCTAAAAATAGTAAGTGTGACCTTGGCCCTGACTCCACAACTCTGAAACTTAACCATGTCCAAGATAACTTGATGCTTAATAAGTGTAAGAAATTTGATGAGAATTCCTCAAAAAATGAAGTCGCTAGAGCCTTGACAATGATTTTCTAAAAATAGTAACAGTGACCTTGACTTTAACCCTAAAACCCTGAAACTCAAACTTGTGTAAAACATTTTGATGTGTATGAAGTTTGATGAGAATCTATCAAGGAGTGAAGCCCCTAACCCTCCCCCAGTTTCACCAGTAGGAGACTAAAAAAAAAATCAATTTCCTTTTCTATATAAATGAGGCTATAATTACAGTATATTTTTAAAGATATTACTTAATAAAATGAACATGAAAACTTTAAGGAGTAATTGCAAAGTGTATAATAAATATCAAACCATATATCTTACCATAATACACAAATGCATTTTACCATAAAACATCATAACATATATATTAAAATCTAAAACAGAAGCTTAATATCACATCTAGTAACATTTCCTGAAAATAAATTATATCATCTTAATGTACATAACTGACAGCAAATCATTGTGCAGTCCTAGAGTCCGAACAAAATATGTGTCTCTGTGTATGTTATCAAACTCTAACATTGCATCTCACTCTTGTTCAGTAAAATTACACAGAAGACTGTAATGTGTACTTTAGGACTATCTCACTTTGATTGGAATCATTTAGGTATAAAATATTTCTATGTAGAATTTCTCACCTTCCCATCTGTTCTGCAATACTCATGAACCTGTTGGAGAAGATGGACAGCTGAATGGCATCAAGCTCTGGACCAATCTCCTGCAACTTTCCACTTCCAATCTAGACAGTGAAATATATCACACATATTTATTTTTTCTGTAGTAAAAGGCACATTTGACAATAAATATATCAAAATTAGAAAATGAATATTAATCTTTATAGGAATATTACTCAACTTTTTACTTTATTGAATAACCTACAGAGTCCTACAACATCTCTATAACAACCTACAGAGTCCTACAACATCTCTATAACAGCCTACAGAGTCCTACAACATCTCTATAACAACCTACAGAGTCCTACAACATCTCTATAACAACCTACAGAGTCCTACAACATCTCTATAACAACCTACAGTATCTCTATAACAACCTACAGAGTCACTATACCATCTCTATAACAACCTACAGAGTCCTACAACATCTCCATAACAACCTACAGAGTCCTACAACATCTCTATAACAACCTAAAGAGTCCTACAGTATCTCTATAACAACCTACAGAGTCCTACAACATCTCTATAACAACCTACAGAGTCCTACAATATCTCTATAACAACCTACAGAGTCCTACAACATCTCTATAACAGCCTACAGAGTCCTACACCATCTCTATAACAACCTACAGAGTCCTACAACATCTCTATAACAACCTACAGAGTCATACAACATCTCTTCAACAATCTACAGAGTCATACAATATCTCTATAACAACCTACAGAGTAATACAGTATCTCTATAACAACCTACAGAGTCCTACAACATCTCTATAACAACCTACAGAGTCCTACAACATCTCTATAACAACCTACAGAGTATCTCTATAACAACCTACAGAGTCACTATACCATCTCTATAACAACCTACAGAGTCCTACAACATCTCTATAACAACCTACAGAGTCCTACAACATCTCTATAACAACCTACAGAGTCCTACAGCATCTCTATAACAACCTACAGAGTCCTACAGCATCTCTATAACAATCTACAGAGTCCTACAACATCTCTATAACAACCTACAGAGTCCTACAACATCTCTATAACAACCTACAGAGTCCTACAGCATCTCTATAACAACCTACAGAGTCATACAACCTCTCTTCAACAATCTACAGAGTCATACAATATCTCTATAACAACCTACAGAGTCCTACAGCATCTCTATAACAACCTACAGAGTCATACAACCTCTCTTCAACAATCTACAGAGTCATACAACATCTCTATAACAACCTACAGAGTCCTACAGCATCTCTATAACAACCTACAGAGTCCTACAGCATCTCTATAACAACCTACAGAGTCCTACAACATCTCTATAACAACCTACAGAGTCCTACAACATCTCTATAACAACCTACAGAGTCCTACAACATCTCTATAACAGCCTACAGAATCCTACAGTATCTCTATAACAACCTACAGAATCCTACAGTATCTCTATAACAACCTACAGAGTCCTACAACATCTCTTCAACCATCTACAGAGTCATACAATATCTCTATAACAACCTACAGAGTAATACAGTATCTCTATAACAACCTACAGAGTCATACAACCTCTCTTCAACAATCTACAGAGTCATACAACATCTCTATAACAACCTACAGAGTCCTACAGCATCTCTATAACAACCAACAGAGTCATACAACCTCTCTTCAACAATCTACAGAGTCATACAACCTCTCTTCAACAATCTACAGAGTCCTACAACATCTCTATAACAACCTACAGAGTCCTACAGCATCTCTATAACAACCTACAGAATCCTACAACATCTCTATAACAACCTACAGAATCCTACAGTATCTCTATAACAACCAACAGAGTCCTACAGCATCTCTATAACAACCTACAGAGTCCTACAACATCTCTATAACAACCTACAGAGTCATACAACATCTCTATAACAACCTACAGAGTCCTACAGTATCTCTATAACAACCTACAGAGTCCTACAACATCTCTATAACAACCTACAGAATCCTACAACATCTCTATAACAACCTACAGAATCCTACAGTATCTCTATAACAACCAACAGAGTCATACAACCTCTCTTCAACAATCTACAGAGTCATACAATATCTCTATAACAACCTACAGAGTCCTACAACATCTCTATAACAACCTACAGAGTCCTACAACATCTCTATAACAACCTACAGAGTCCTACAACATCTCTATAACAACCTACAGAGTCCTACAACATCTCTATAACAACCTACAGAGTCCTACAACATCTCTATAACAACCTACAGAGTAATACAGTATCTCTATAACAACCTACAGAGTCCTACAGTATCTCTATAACAACCTACAGTATCTCTATAACAACCTACAGAGTAATACAGTATCTCTATAACAACCTACAGTATCTCTATAACAACCTACAGAGTCCTATACCATCTCTATAACAACCTACAGTATCTCTATAACAACCTACAGAGTCCTACAACATCTCTATAACAACCTACAGAATTCTACAACATCTCTATAACAACCTACAGAATCCTACAGTATCTCTATAACAACCTACAGAATCCTACAGTATCTCTATAACAACCTACAGAGTCCTACAGCATCTCTATAACAACCTACAGTATCTCTATAACAACCTACAGAGTCCTATACCATCTCTATAACAACCTACAGTATCTCTATAACAACCTACAGAGTCCTACAACATCTGTTTATGTTAAGCCTACCTTCATTTTGACATCCCCATTGGCTGTTATTGATGCTGTGCAGGCTGGTTCTACCAAAATTGTACTGTAAAACAATCAATAATTATCAATTATAGTCAGTCATATAAAATAACTTAAAAACAGACAAAAAACAAAACAAATGGAGTCAATTAACACATGTGGGTTAGGTAAAATGATGAAGCTTGTTTTTATTAAACATGAGTCATCTCTACCTATAGTCAACTCTCTATACAGTTAACTGTGGTCGATAGGTTAACATAATTAATGTTAATATGTTTGTAAACAGGGGTCTCCTTGTAACAGCTGGTGGCTGACCCACAGAGAAGGAGGTCTGTCACTTGTATGCCATAACTTGTAATGAAGGTAAAGCATCCTGACAAAGTTGACAACCAGGACAACACCAGTCAGTTTCTCAGCTTCCAGAGAAACACAAATTATCCTGGGTAGGAACTTCACCTGAGGTTATGTGGGCTAACATTCTACCAGTTAAGTACCACTCCGTATTTAAACAGTGAACAGCTCCTACGTCATAAAATTTCATTCATGTGACTATGTCAAAGTCTGAAAAGAGTGTTGCTCAATAATTACCTAAACACAGGAGATTGACTGAATAAATATAATATCATGTATGGAGAATAAACCAAATGTAAAATAGGAGTCAACCATGTCATATTGATAAGAATCGTACATTCAATTTGTCAATTAATAGATATATTAACATCCTGTTTCCATGTACATTTTTTTTTAATCATATGCAAAATTGCTCTTCTTACAAGAATATTGGCACAGTGAATTCATTTATTTTTTTAATTAAACATATTCTGACAGATCTGTTTAATGTATCATATCTCAGTCAGTGAAGACCTATACAGTGCCCAAAAGCTGCACTCCTATTATAAAGAATGATCCTAAAAATTTTTAAAAGAATTAAATTTCTATGAAAAAGGCGTTCCTAACATTGCTGATAGACTATAAGATGATAAAACAAACCTGTTTCCGTTCATAATAATGGCTGGTCCTTCAATCACATGACCTTTCCCAAGATCCTCCAGTAAGTACACGTTTGTGTTATAGTGTCCATCCTCAAAATAGCAGCGAGTGACCTTCAACAGGAAACACACTCTTGTTACAGGTTATGGGTCTAGTACAGGTAACATAACACAGTTCTGATCCGAGAAAGGTTATGATAAAATTTTCATCTTTTCTCTTAAAATAAAATAAAGTTGACAATTAAGATGATATTAAATAAATTTTCAAAATTTAAACAAGAGGCCCAAGAGCCTTAACAGTCATCTGAGAACAAAACTTTCAACAAGGAGAAGGGTTATTTTTTCTACTTTGAATGTAATCTTACTAAGAAGCTGTTTTCCATGATGCTGATGGTAGTTTTGGTGAGGAGTAGGTAACTGTAACAAGTGTTACCTATTTTTTGACAGTAAAGTATTCAGACAACATTCAACCCTAAATCTGAGTCCGTTTCCTGGGTTAATCCTGCCTCCTATATATAAGAAATGTGTCCACCCGCAATGATATTTCAGGAGTAATGTTTGGGGCCCTGGCCTTATTTCTGCCTCAATTGATTCAGAAATAATTGTATTTTCCCAATGGTGTTTACAATCTGTGGCCTGAACCTTACAACTAGAGATACCATGGATGCAAAAGTCATCCATAACCACCAGCAATGTTTTAAGGAAAAATGGACTCTAAACAATGTATTGTTTCAGTAGGAAAAATGGACACTTAACAATGTATTGTTTCAGTAGGAAAAGTGGACTCTAAACAATGTATTGTTTCAGTAGGAAAAATGGACTCTTAACAATCTATTGTTTCAGTAGGAAAAATGGACTCTTAACAATCTATTGTTTCAGTAGGAAAAATGGACTCTTAACAATCTATTGTTTCAGTAGGAAAAATGGACTCTTAACAATCTATTGTTTCAGTAGAATTACAAAAGTTGAAGTACGAAGTATGAATTAGACTTTAACATATGTGTAGCTATATACCACACATATACCTGTATTTATATTTTATTACATAGATATAAACTGGAAGCATGTGGATACAAGGAACTAATTTTTTTTTAATGTTGGAAAATTAAATCAAAACCTTGTCAGCAGTATTATTTTGGTATATAAATGACCATTGATGAAGGGAGATTTTAATAGCCAACCATGTGATAATGATGGCCTAAATCTCAAAGTTTAGTGAAAAGTTTTGAACTCGACCATGATTGGGTAGTATATATAAGATAAATATTTCTTATGATCAACTTTAATTTGGTAGTGACTTGTGTACAGTACTTTGTGTATTAAGAATTGTTTCTAGCTTGTGATAGTAAAGTTTTAAATCATTTAAATTTTACTTTTTAATTACAATATTGTTACAAATGGTGTCAAATTGATATGTAGTATGTATTTAAATTCAAATTTGACAGAATTGAGCAAGTTTTGACAAGTTCAAAAAATAACAATACTTTGTTGGCTACCTTTCCTTAACATTCCCACCAGTTTTTAGCTCCATGGCATAAGTGGAACTGGATAAGAAGTTTAAATATGTTTATCAAGATGGTGGCCATCTTGGATTTCAGACTGACCTGAAAATTAACAACACTTGGACAGGATCATTTCAGACAAGTGGGAGCTCATTCCACTGGTAAAACTTGAAAAGAAGTTTCGAATTAGGTGTTGCACATGAAAATCACATGCAATCGTGTTACAAGATGGCCTCCCTGGCTGGTTTTGACAAGGTAGAAAATAACATCTTTGTTGACTACCTTTCCCCTTTCCTTATCATTCCCAACAATTTTTAGCTCAATGGCACCAATGGAACTGGAGAAGAAGTTTATGCATGGTGGACGGTGGATGGCACATGGCGCACTGACGAATCATAATGGCTATAGGTCAGATGAGCTAGAATTTAAAAAACTGTCTCAGTCTGGTATCATATCTGTTTGACAGCAGAATAATCATTGAAGACAATTTTTTTTCATTACAAGCCCACTGAAATATTTCATTTAGATAATTTTTACGTGAGATGTGTAGACACCTTTTCCACCCTTGGTGGCTCTGTGAATTCGGCTGTTGATTCTTCTAAACTGACAGACGTTTTACCAACTCCTCGCATCCTGATGTCATCTATGATGATTGGGCGGTCAGGTATAGTGAAGCCAAATTCAGTCTGATACCTGTAACACAGAAGGTATCAACAGGTTTTCAATAAATACCTGTTTTATTAAAGGTATACCAGCATTAAATAGGTCAACATCACATCTATGGTGACCACGCTACATCCAAGTATTCAACAGATACCAGATATTTAAAAGACATATTTTCCCTGATTTTCAGTATTCTTTGAAAACCATAAAATAATTCTTTCTAATTCCTCCCTACCTTTCCTGAAATGCTTTGCGGAAGTCTCCGTATTTACACGTCCCTGGCCCAGCAGGATGTCCCTCTGAGGAGATCATAAGAGCACAATCTGTCCGGTCATACCGCATGTGTAGGAAGGGTTGGGTCTCCACCTGTTTGCTGATAAGAAGTACAGGTGTGCTAAGAAGTGATACTTATCAATACAACAAAATGAAATGAAAATAAAAATCAAACAGAAAAATTTCCTTTTTACCACTTTTTACCATCTCAAGGTCTCCTTCTCTTTCTGTTTTTTTTTTCCCCAAAATTCAATTTTTTTCCAACAATACTTATTTATACAGCAAAATCTAACTTTACAAACAGCTATATACACATCAATACCTGCTTCATAATAAAACAAAATATGTCAAAAGCCTGCTTCAACAAGACCTTTCAGACAAGAAACTGAGTACCAAGGAAAATCTACTTACTTATCAAATCCTTGTTTCAGAAGTTCTTTAGAACATACATCACTAAGGTATTCAATGCGACTATCAAGGTGAGCAAAAGAGCCTGCAACAGTAAGAGTGATAGGTCAGAAACACATACTGGATACTTCCATAAAGTTTCACTTAAATCCATCTGTTTATATTTGAAGTTAAATCAAAATCCAAGCTGTCAAATGATGATGGACAATTTTTTCTGTCAAACAACAAATAGAGAAAGACAGCAAAAGGTCATATACTCCTTCAGCTCATGTTACAAAAACCAATGGCTGCCATTCTTGTAAATACAGCAGTAACACAAAACTGTTCTTTGTACTTTGTCTAGGACTAAATTTTGGTCTAAATCAGTAAGGCATTCTGATATAGCCACAAGTCAGCATAAGCTCATCAGTCCTTTCAACCCAGTGACCCAAGCAAAAACACACAGGGACATGCTTGACACTGACATAATGAACAAAAAAGTATGGCATAATAATAACACACTACTGCACATCGCAGTCTCTTACATACTTTGATCATATTTTCCTGCACAAGGTTCCTGTGCTTCATGGACCACATCCGCCAAAGCCATACCATAGGCCGACAGGATACCAGCATATCTAAAACAAGAAAATAAGTGAAACTGATGGGTTATACCAAACTTATAAGTTATTGAAATGTACAAGCATGTTGTATATATTTTGTGTGTCAATATTTGATGGCATGGCCTTAACCTCATTATCCCTTGAATTGACTTTAGGCATACTTTTAAGTCTATAGCATATACCTTACCTGTGTACATATACCTGTGTCATCCCCAGGGACCTGGCTATAGCACAAGCATGTTGTCCCCCTGCTCCACCAAAACAGGCAAGAACATGGCGTGATGTGTCGTGACCTCTGGCCTGTTGGAAGGTATGAGATACAATCATAAACTCAATCATTTTTCAATTGTAATATGTCATATTTATTTCACATATTTTACACTTATTGTTATAAAATCATATTTAATTTGAATACATAATGTATATGTTTAAATATTGAAAGTACAATTTGTACAGAATTGATGCACTTCATGATTTTTTTGGACTTATAAAATACCTGTACGTACAGCCTATTTAGGATATTATTGTTCTGAATATGATATATACAAAGTCTCTTAATTACAAACTTTGTGAATAAAAAGAAAATAATGGTTACTTGTGTAAGAGCTCTGATTGGTCGACACATGGTCTCGTTAGCAACACGAATAAAGCCCATGGCAATCTCTTCTTCCGTCATTGGCTGGTGACTTTCTGTGCTGTGTTGATGTAACAGAAACTCATTGACCTGAAAAGAAATCCTACCTGTACATAATTCATCAGGAAACTTTCCTGTCAAACTTGAACTTACATCACCTCAAATGATTTCATAACAATCGGTCACAAGAAACTTTTCACCTGTGTCAAATTAACTACATGCAATCAGAGCAAAAATTATCTACAAATAAAATTAGAGTCAAAGTTTTCCAAAGTCCATGCTCACCCTCAACATATTCTACTTCTTAAATATCATATTGTATTCCAAGTGTTTTTTCTTTGGGTTCATTCAAGATTAATTTACATGTAGTTTCATCATGGATTTCAATGTTATTCTACAGGGTTTAATTAGTCTATAACTTGGCATTTACTATCTTTAATAAGATAGGAAAAAATTCAGCAGTTTCTTCCTGAGAATGTGAACTTGGAACCCTACAGGACCACATTCACTTTCTCTATGGTGATCACACAGTCCAGATTTGTTATATATCAACAACAGGACACTGATTCCAACTCTCAGACAACAAGTATACAATGATATTAATTGGCAGTATATTTAAGATAAACATACCTCCCTGGTCAACTTTTGGAAGGCCTTTCGTGTTGACTTTTCATCAAGAGGCTTATCTTGTGTCCGCCCAAAGATTTTAGGGAAATAATCTGGCAGAATTCTCCCCAAACAGAGGTTTGCATCCGTGATGGTCAGTGGTCCACCTACATGTACAGATACATTCAACAGATAATTCTACCAAGACATAACAGAAAAGTTAAATATCTACCTATATATTCAATATTTGTGGAGGAATCTGAAATGTTAATACAAGAAATGATAAACATTTATACCTTTCATGTAGCAAGTTGGCCCAGGGTCTGCTCCAGCTGACTCTGGACCCACAACAAACAAACCAGCTCGGAAAAACAACATTGACCCTCCACCTGCTGCCACAGTGTTAATGTCCAGCTGAAACAGACCAGTCTGCCATTTCAAACAAGACAAAAATGCCAGTAAGGTATTGCAGAAAGGGAGACTAAACAATCAGAGCTTTTAGCAATGGAAGCACACCAGCAATGTATAAATAGAGATAGATAAGAGGCCAACAGGCCTTAATGGTCATCTGACTGTAAAGATCTCTATATTTGAAAGAGGCCAAGTATGCCTAAAACAAATTGCTCCACTACACTACAGCTTATAACGAAGAACTGATTGGTTCATAAAGACTTTTTTGCAAACTTGAAATCATATTCTTTATTCATGCACTGCACAAATGCCATTATTCCAGACATAATGCTTGTTGAAAAAGCATGCCACAGGCCAAATAACAAAACCCTTGGCCTTTTGGTTATTAAGAAGAAGTTGCTTACACATTCCAATACATATGACCCCTGTGTTCTTGACAGTAGGTCAAGGTGAACAAACCTTGTGACCCTTCATCTCAGCATGCTACAGGACCAATATCAGCACCATGGACTTTTTGGTAATTGAGAAGAAGTTATTCAAATATTTCAAAACATTTTTACCCATGTGTCCTTGAAAGTGGATCAAAGTAATTCATTTTAGCAAACATGGTAGCCCTTCATCCCAGCATGCTACAGGATCAATATCAGTACCATGGACCTTTCAGTTATTGAGAAGATGTTGTTAAAATGATTATACTAGCTGTGGTAGACAGCTTCAGGGTCTAATAATTTCTTATCCTAACTCTTATAGTCTTAGTTGAAATATATTCAGAAGCTGACAGACAGAGATAGGGGCCCATCTAGATTTAGCTCATGTTAGGATGATTTTCAAGTCTGTCAAATGCCTTAAAAATAATTGTATGGTCTGACACTATGCCTAGACCTCTGGACTGTTGATATCACACCTACTCTTTTACGCAAAGCCACAGAGGGATCTTCTGCATGTGAGAGTGGACAATGGCTGCCATACACAGTATGATAGTAGAGGAATGCAACTTAAAACTACATGTGCTTTTATATCCTAAATATTGAATGATATTTATTAAACAAGACTATTTAGGGCATTTGAATGGGAAGTTGAATATATGATAAGTAGAGAAGTATTAGAGTTCAGTATGTACCTCATACAATGCGACACAATGAGGACCATTGACCTGATCTGTTGACCTTAAATGATTACTATTATATTACAAAAGGTTAGTTAGTGTTAGTTGTACTTAGTCGTGTCTGACGTGTACAGTTGGAGAGGTGTTTGTTGAACTGAGAATCTGAAGAATGCACTCAAAACACAACACAACAAAGTCCTGAATCCAATGATCTTCAAGAATAGCATTATCAGCACAGAAAAATCCAACACTCCGTAATTTGAATGTAAAATGAAGCAATCTCAAGGACAATATACAGGTGGCTGTCAGAGTTTATATATATATATAATTAACTATTAATTATCTCCACTGATGATTATATATTATAATTTTTGTGATATTCATATTTCAACAAAACTCAGCTAAGGCCCTATAACTACATGTATGTTATCACTGTACAACAGAAATATCTTTGGAGTCGAGTGCTGGTGTCTAGTGCTGGGGTCTAGTGCTGGTGTCTAGTGCTGTGGTCTAGTGCTGGGGTCTAGTGCTGGGGTCTAGTGCTGGTGTCTAGTGCTGTGGTCTAGTGCTGGGGTCTAGTGCTGGGGTCTAGTGCTGGTGTCTAGTGCTGTGGTCTAGTGCTGGGGTCTAGTGCTGGGGTCTAGTGCTGGGGTCTAGTGCTGGGGTCTAGTGCTGTGGTCTAGTGCTGTGGTCTAGTGCTGTGGTCTAGTGCTGGTGTCTAGTGCTGGTGTCTAGTGCTGAGGTCTAGTGCTGGTGTCTAGTGCTGGTGTCTAGTGCTGGTGTTTAGTGCTGGTGTCTAGTACTGGTGTCTAGTGCTGGGGTCTAGTGCTGGTGTCTAGTGCTGTGGTCTAGTGCTGGGGTCTAGTGCTGTGGTCTAGTGCTGGGGTCTAGTGCTGGTGTCTAGTGCTGTGGCTTACTGCTGTGGTCTAGTGCTGCGGTCTAGTGCTGTGGTCTAGTGCTGTGGCTTACTGCTGGGGTCTAGTGCTGGGGTCTAGTGCTGGGGTCTAGTGCTGGGGTCTAGTGCTGGGGTCTAGTGCTGTGGTCTAGTGCTGGGGTCTAGTGCTGGGGTCTAGTAGCCAGAGAGAGGTAATGGGAAGGTGGCTCGGGGGTCAGGTAAGAAGTTGATGTATTGTGACAGTGAATCAAGTCTATGTACAGCTATAATACTTGCTGTACCTGTGGAGCCTGAATAGTCACTCCAGCAGTGGTGGTCTCAAACACATGTTCATAATGTCCAGCATACCGACTCACATCAGTCGACGTTCCTGTAAAGATGAAAATATTTTGGGATATCTCACAAAAATGACCATTTCCATACAAGTAGATCTACAGCAAGCATCAACACAGAATTTGTATGTTAATATAAACAGATTTTTTTTGGCTCTAATTCAAGGAATGCAATATTTTTTTTCATTTAACTTGTATTTAAAATAATGTTTTCTTTAAATATTCTGTTACAACAATTCAATACTGTCAGACCAAAACTTACCTCCCATATCAAACCCGATGACTGGCAGGTTAGACTCTTTCTTATATGTGGTGAGGGCATACCCTACTACTCCACCAGCTGGGCCAGATAGAATCGCTCTTGACCCGTTAAATCTATATATATATATAAATATCACTTTATACATCAGCAAAACTTGTATGGAAATGCAGTTTCATCACACTCAGAGCTCACATTACCTATTGTTAACCCTTGTGTAGACCATGTAATCAAAAATGATACTATACATTGCCTACAATGATGTTGTTTTGTTGCTTAATTATCAGTACAATTTTTGTATTGACAGTGGAACATTAAGGATAGAAAGTAAAAGATTATTACATTATGCATAGTTAGGAGATGTTTTTAGCAATCACTTTTCATACCTAACAGTTTCACAAATACTTATTAAGGAATCAAACTGGAAAACTAGAGATCCCCAGTATGAGTTTATTTCATACACTGTAGATTGTTGGTTATGTAATTTATATTCAATCATGTTTAATCATCTAATTACACTTTTATGTAGTGTAATCAACCCAGTTTCAGTGTAAAACACATTCTAAATGAAAATCTGAAAAAAATTTATTTCCAAATATTTCCAGTTAAGACCAAACTTTTCCAGTTTAGATTGCCAAATTGACCGAAATAAACTGCAGGCTCCAATTTAAAACTGGAGGTTTAACAGGTAAGGTTTGTATATCAAATTACAATCTAGTGACACGATACTATAAGATTGTATATGATTCATTTATTTGTATATCGGCAATGCATATAATATAGAGGAGGGGTAATTTTTGTTGCTTTGTTTGACTTTGTTTAGTATAGGTAGAAAATGAGTAAAATCTTACTTATCCACAGGGGTAAGTCCACCATCAGACTGCATGAACAACACACGAGTCCCCTGTAATTAAGTTATAATCACAAATTTGACAACAAATTAGTACCCCATTATTAAGATGAAAAAAATACACACACCACAACTAAGTGCAATATTTATATTTTTCCGAAAAAAAACCCCAGTAACACGTGTTCATTTCCATGTCCTTTTTGTTGTAATTATGTATGTAAGTCTGTGAAGTGATAACTTCTGGGGACAGAATTAAAAAATTGAAGGAAGAACACACATTTCCCTCAACTTTTCCATTCCATTTCTATGTCTGTGCTACATAATCTCAGGAGACACCAACAGCATGCTGATAGAATACTCCTTCCCAGACAAAGATACAAACCAATTGGTCACAAGTTTAAAGAGTGACTCTCTTATTGCTTGGAACAACTACAAAACAAAAACAAGCAACCTATGAACACTTGTCAGTTGAAATGTTGAATGTGAACATGTATATTAGTTGTAACAGGTACCTAAACGTAACAGCAGGAAACTACAATGATAAAAGTCACATGATTTTTAGTCATCCATTGATGTATTTGACATACTGTTAAGTCAAACTTTTGCAAACTCTGATAACTCAAAGACCTCGTTTGGCTCAAAAGTATCTATCAAGTCCATGCCAAACAGTCTGTCTTAATCTCTGATCTGATGAACTGGAACACTCAGATAAACCACAACATGTCAACATAGAAATAACAATGTTTGATTGTCTGTAATGTGGTAGAGGATTATAATATTATATAGATGAATGTTCAGGAAGTTTTCTAATTTTTTACCTGACTCAAACAACTATTGGTGAATGGTTCATTGCGACCAGTTAAGCCTCACCTGTACTCCACCTTGAAAGCCAGAGGCAAACCCTGCCACATAGTTCTTGATACATGGTGTCAAATAAGCGTCTGCACATGCTGTCAAAAACAGAACAATGTAGAACAGCAATGAAGAAACCATCAAAATTTTAATGCATCATTGACAAACATAATTTTTTACCAGTATATCAGTATCTTAACCAATGTCTAATGTTTTTTTTACATTTACTATATAACAGTTTTTTTTACCAATGTCTAATTTTCACTATTTTTTCCATAAGAATGAGGGGCAAACATTCAACTAGCAAATTTAATTTAGTTCCTTCCCTTCAGAGACTAAAATGTGATATATAGTATGATTCTGGATTTTACATCAACTGGCAAGTTCAATTTAGTTCCTACCCTTCAATGACTAAAACGTGATATATATAAAGATTCTGGATTTGACATCAAATGGTGAAATTTGTGCCTGGCAAAATTATCCTGTCATATATATGGTATTACAGATTGCTAGGTACTCTGTCAAGAACACAAGTATGATATGTATTTGTTTACAGAACACATACATGTAACCACTTAATTGGTCAGGGGGTTTTACACTGAACTGAAATCACCATTTGGACATCATCAATTCAAAATACCTGTGTAGCCCCGAGGGACAACTCTGACCATGGGCATGACGTCTGATGACAGTGACACCTGGTGGAAACCCATCTCCTTTGCCACACGTCCAACTTCCTGTTCGTGGTCTGCAAATCTGAAAAGGATAACAACTGATGATAAGAAGCAATGAGTTGTGTCGTCATCAGAAGAAATTACCAACTAACCTTGATCTTTTATCCACATTCATTATATAAGATGCAAGTTATTGAAATCTTTGAGCTACCTGATTTAAGTTATTGTAGAGGTGCACTCTGTATTTATCAAGTAAGTGGCCTGTCCCTGGTAAATAAGCCTATCTTTATCTTTTTCTCATACATAATTTTGTCAAAACTGCAAACTTTCTCAACTTTTTTCACTTCCATATTTTTCTACTCAATCAGATTATCTCCCTTTTCAGTATGTATGTACATTAGAAAGACAATTGAATTATATGGACAATCTGATTATCTGGCACAAGTTATCACAACAGGTACCAAACAGACCAGATATGATAAAGAAAATCTATCATTGGACAGTGTGTGAGATTTTCCTGTCTCATATACAAGATTAATAAAACAGTTCACCCCCTTGGAGGTGAGATAAGTATATCTCAAACTGAGGGCAAAGATGATTAAGCAAACACAAGGTTTGCCATGTACATTGATAATCACTACATCCTATCTGTATAGATTACCAATCACTACATCCTATCTGTATAGATTACCAATCACTACATCCTATCTGTATAGATTACCATCACTATCTGTATAGATTACACAATCACTACACTACTATCTGTATAGATTACCAATCACTACATCCTATCTGTATAGATTACCAATCCAATCACTAATATCTGTATAGATTACCAATCACTAATATCTGTATAGATTACCAATCACTACATCCTATCTGTATAGATTACCAATCACTACAATATCTGTATAGATTACCAATCACTACATCCTATCTGTATAGATAACCAATCACTACCTCCTATCTGTATAGATTACCAATCACTACATCCTATCTGTATAGATTACCAATCACTACCTCCTATCTGTATAGATTACCAATCACTACATCCTATCTGTGTAGATTACCAATCACTACAATATCTGTATAGATTACCAATCACTACATATCTGTATAGATTACCAATCCTAATCACAATCACTAATATCTGTATAGATTACCAATCACTACATCCTATCTGTATAGATTACCAATCACTACATCCTATCTGTATAGATTACCAATCACTACATCCTATCTGTATAGATTACCAATCACTACATCCTATCTGTATAGATTACCAATCACTACCTCCTATCTGTACAGATTAGCAATCACTACATCTTATCTGTATAGATTACCAATCACTACATCCTATCTGTATAGATTACCAATCACTACCTCCTATCTGTATAGATTATCAGTCACTACATCCTATCTGTATAGATTACCAGTCACTACATCCTATCTGTATAGATTACCAATCACTACATCCTATCTGTATAGATTACCAATCACTACAATATCTGTATAGATTACCAATCCTATCTGTATAGATTACCAATCACTACATATCTGTATAGATTACCAATCACTACCAATCACTACTATCCTATCTGTATAGATTACCAATCACTACAATATCTGTATAGATTACCAATCACTACATCCTATCTGTATAGATTACCAATCACTACAATATCTGTATAGATTACCAATCACTACATCCTATCTGTATAGATTACCAATCACTACAATATCTGTATAGATCCAATCACTGTATCTGTATAGATTACCAATCACTACATCCTATCTGTATAGATTACCAATCACTACATCCTATCTGTATCTACCAATCACTACATCCTAGTATTACCAATCACTACATCCTATCTGTATAGATTACCAATCACTACATCCTATCTGTATAGATTACCAATCACTATAGATTACCAATCACTACATCCTATCTGTATAGATTACCAATCACTACATCCTATCTGTATCTATAATATCTAATATCTGTATAGATTACCAATCACTACTACATCCTATCTGTATAGATTACCAATCACTACAATATCTGTATAGATTACCAATCACTACATCCTATCTGTATAGATTACCAATCACTATAATATCTGTATAGATTACCAGTCACTACATCCTATCTGTATAGATTACCAATCACTACATCCTATCTGTATAGATTACCAATCACTACAATATCTGTATAGATTACCAATCACTACATCCTATCTGTATAGATTACCAATCACTACAATATCTGTATAGATTACCAATCACTACATCCTATCTGTATAGATTACCAATCACTACATCCTATCTGTATAGATTACCAATCACTACATCCTATCTGTATAGATTACCAATCACTACATCCTATCTGTATAGATTACCAATCACTACAATATCTGTATAGATGACCAATCACTACCTCCTATCTGTATAGATTACCAATCACTATAATATCTGTATAGATTACCAATCACTACATCCTATCTGTATAGATTACCAATCACTACATCCTATCTGTATAGATTACCAATCAGTATATCCTATCTATATTGGTTCATATTAATTACGTGTAGGAGTGAAGAAGTACAACTGCCAGACTCCGAATCCCTCGGTCTAACAAACGTTGTAGGTCTTGTCGTAACTGTGACACATCCACAGAGCGCCATACCTCCAACTGTGAAGATACAACTTATAAAATTAGCACTTTCTGATTAACTAGAAAAGTTACCCTGTCTGAATCTCAGAAGACAAATGAGTAAGACTGAGCACTTGATAGTGACAGGTTTATAAGATACTAACATTTAATATCAGGACATAAACATGCCTTGTTCTATCAGATGAAATGTAAATACATTTTAAGTCTAAATTTTACCGTTGGAACTGTAGATGAAAACTGTTGCTCATTTTGGTAGTGCTATACCGGTAAGCTTAAGACCAAATATCAAGACTTCAGTATTTTCAAGATTCTTTAAAATGGCCTTCAAAAATATTTTTACGCTTTTTCTGATGAACACAATGCATCCCTCAGACACCTCCATAAAAAATACATTGCCGTATATAACTCTAAGTTGTGAAATAGCTACATGTAAAAACTAGTCATGCTTGTAGATTTTTTGCTTTTTGAGAAGTATAGAAACATGTCAGGTGTCTAACGACTTAAAGTGACGAGAGCTGATAAAGAAGAGAACAAATATGATAACATTGATGGCATGATCTTCAGGATAGCTGTAGTACCATTTGTCACATCAGTGAGCCAAGGCCTTTTTACTTACCTTTTCACCGGTCGTACCAGTCACAATGGGACAAGCTTTCTTGATCTCACATCTATCCTGCTGGAACACAACCCTCTCTTCAACCTCGATCACCTCCTCATACAGCTGGTCAGGTGCCACAATTTCCTATGTGATATTATACTTTCAATTTGAATAAACCTTCACACAAAAAATGTCAACTTTATGAATATAAAATATACACAAATATTGTGTGACTTAAATGAGTATGAAAAATACATGTACATCGATTCTGAGACAATTTACAAACACATGTAAACTTTTCAAACATATTTTTGAGTTTATTTAATTCTATTATTCACTAGTGCATCAACAAATAATAAGTTATGCTGCACACCTATCATAAGGAAGAATTCACAATAAATTACAAACATTCATGTGTGTATGCTCTTCTTAAAAGTTACAAAGGTTCTGGTCCCTCAATGCCTGGAAATATGTAATTTACAAAGGCACTGGTCCCTCAACACCGGGAAACATGCCATTTACAAAGGTACTGGTCCCTCAACACCAGGAATCATGCCATTTATAAAGGTACTGTTTCCTCAATGCCCAGAAATATGTGCAATATGAGCAAATATCTAAATGACTTCACAAAACAGAACTATGAAGTGAGGACCTACATAAGAACATCACAAATTAAAAATTAGCATGAGCATTCTACTAACCAATAACATCCAGCTCATTGCTTTGGACTAAAAATTGTGAAAATGTCCAACTCGCATAATAAGAATCATTCTGTGAAATGTTAATGAAGAGTAGAATGTTTCTGCTAGCACAGTATCAGGTAAGAATATATAAGGTTTGATATCAGTTCAGTGGTGGGGTGGTCAGTTGGCGCAATGGTAACACATTCGCCTTTCACCTAGACGTCCAGGGTTTGATTCCTGGAATGGATGTGAATTGATATGGGGTCACCTGCCCGACCACCTGGATTTTACCCTGGTATTTAAGTTCTTACAGTGTGTTTCCATTCAGGCCAACAAGAGTGATTAATTTAAGTTGGGAAAACTTGTTTCATAACTGTTGTAAAATTATTACTATATCATTACTATATATTATCAGTTCAAATTACAAATATCATAAGGAGATTTTGATGGACTTCCAAAATACATAATATGCCAAACTACTATAGGTTTGAAGGCTCCTTTTTTCTTGTGTCAGCATGTCATGTAGTTGCTTGCAGTTTAGAGTTCAATAAGGACAATATTACGTCTTGGAGTTGACCTCTAAAATATAACATTAGGTCATAAGAACACTAGAATGGTTGATTCCATCTTCATCCACGTCACATAATGCTTTTCCAATTCTACTCACTTTACTATTTTTTCTCATCTACTGAGATGCTGAGAGGCCACCAAAAATAGAACAAACAATTCAATGGCAATGTTTACCAGGTCAAAGATGTTTGGGCGGGCTTGGTTGCCGATGTGAAGTAGGTCTCTAAAACCCTTAGTGATGGCTAGTGCCATACGTTCCCCTTTCCTCTCCAGCAAGGCATTGGTGGCCACAGTCGTTCCCATCCTGATCCAGTCAATCTGGGCAGAATCTATCGGCTCATCTGGCGGGAGTGCACGCCCCCCAACCTATCAATCAAAATTCAACAGAATATGATATAAATTTTACATACACTTGCACAATAAGTTCAGCATTATGTATTCTAAAGGACTATCACATTCAAATGCTAATGAATTCAAATAATTTTTCCATTACAAATCTGGAAACATTACAAAACATGTCTACAAATGCTAAATCAAGGCCATGGAAAAAGATACCTTTCATGGTTGGTAACATTTATATAGAAATTCAATGATGCATTGTTTTACAAACTGGCATAAGTAGACTGGGATTTGTTCTTCATTGGTATACTGTGCATGTGATTTAATAAGCCTGATGAGGCTATGGCTGCTGGAGAACCCTCTGATTCCAACAACAATATTCGCTGGCTTTAGGCTTGTTGATATATATAATATTTATAATATTTACCTCTTCCATGATTCGCCGAATTCCTTCCCTGGGGGCATCTGGGTAGTTCTTTGGGTCGACAGACAGCAGTTTCATGACCTTCACTCGACCTCCAGGACATCTTGCCCAAATATCTGTGAAGGTGCCACCTCGATCAATTGCAAACTGGAACTTGTCAGCCATTTCAATCGTCACTAGTACTGTAGGAAGCAAATTTATAATGAAAAGTCCTCTGAATTAACAGAATAGTAGGTAACAGCAAAGTAATTTAAACACATTTGATTCGTCAAATATTTGCTAGAACACAATCCAGTATTCAGTTTTGGTCTTGTGTCTTGTTATTCTCATAATAAGGGGCTCATATGTATATATAATTACCCGTCCTTGTTCTTCACCTCTCTTTCCGGAGCTGTCAAGTTATTTTCTTTGCTGAAGGTTAACTGGCTAAAGTCGTAGATTGTGTCTCTTACTCAATTCAGAATGAATCAAAATATGCAACTGTATATTGCAGTGGAATATACAGCAAAGGTAATTACCTAACCTTGCCAATAAATAGAACTTGAAGACCGGAGCAACAGCTGGGGCCTGTTCGTTTACTCTCTACTGTAGACAAAGCGGCTCATATATTCAATGCTGCATTTCTGGCATAAATCAGGACGAACCAGCAAGTATTAGTGGCCTTATACATACCTTGAAAGATTTTGTCGGTGATCGTCAGCAAACAAAAAGGAGATCAGTAAGTCTGTCCTTAGTTCGCAAAACGAACAGTATATATTTATTTCAGTTACTTCCCTTACAATACTCTTCAACAAAGTGTACGTAAAATGAAAGTAGACATCCAAACGGTTACATACTAGCCATTTAGTAGTCTCATAAGATGTCAGTCAGGTTGACACAGTTCTTCGGGACCTATGCTTTTAGGCGTTTCGTAACTATAAAAGGCCACATAAATGGAATGCAAACCAGCTTCCAGACTAGGAGACAACTTGCCACAGGAAATGCCGACCCTGGGTATGCTTACAGACGGAGAGTACTGACAGTAGCGGTTGTAATCATACAGTTACACAGTTACCTAGGTTCTAGATTAGAACACATGCACATGAACGTAAAAGTCATTCTCATATCATTTGTGACAGTTCAGTCTCATATCGTTCTTTGTGACAGACCAATCTCACATTCTCACTTGTGACAGACCAGTCTCGTATCCTCACTTATGACAGACTAGTCTCACATCCTCACTTGTAACAGACTAGTCTCACATTCTCACTTGTGACAGACCAGTCTCACATCCTCACTTGTGACAGACTAGTCTCACATTCTCACTTATGACAGACTAGTCTCACATTCTCACTTGTAACAGACTAGTCTCACATTCTCACTTATGACAGACTAGTCTCACATCCTCACTTGTAACAGACTAGTCTCACATCCTCACTTGTAACAGACTAGTCTCACATCCTCACTTGTAACAGACTAGTCTCACATTCTCACTTGTGACAGACCAGTCTCACATCCTCACTTGTAACAGACTAGTCTCACATCCTCACTTGTAACAGACTAGTCTCACATTCTCACTTGTGACAGACCAGTCTCACATCCTCACTTGTGACAGACCAGTCTCACATCCTCACTTGTGACAGACTAGTCTCATATCCTCACTTGTGACAGACCAGTCTTCTTCATAATTTCATTACTGAAGTCATTTTGGCTCTCTGTCTCCAATGAGGTCATAATCAGCAAGTAGGCCTATATGATGTCAAATCATTATTATTTTATGACATTACAAAAGATCATAAAACACTTGTTCATATTCAAAATATTGAATATGATGCAATATTACATGGTTGTAATCATACTCATAGAAGATCAGAACACCATGCATTGAAATTATCTGAGTGGTCAGTATAGTATTGAACAGCATTGAATAATTGTTTGCTATTTTCCTTTCAGATTTTTTGCTCTGATGCAACATGCAAGGGCAAAACTTCCAGAAAATGAAAAACAATGGTAAAGTACAAATTATAAATTATAATTATAAACTATCAAAAGAATAAATAAAGTAACTATGTTTCTGACTTCCAATGCCTCCAGACTGACTTGCTTGTCAATATTCTATGTGTCAACTTATGTTCCCTTATATATAAGCACCATCATATGCAGTGAGCAATCTACAGCTATTTTAACAAATCCTTTCCAACATTTATTGCTGAAAACAATAGTCCCATGATGTGAAATTTCAAGTATTTCCAGAAATTCTATGATTCCATCAAAATTGCAGAAGTAAAGGTCTTGGAACTTGCTTTATATTTATCATTGCATATGGCAAGGATCATTTAATGAATAACAGGAAGATTTTCAAGCAATGTTGAAAAATGGCAAACTATCAAATATTCATAGTGAATCCTTTCCCCAAAAACTATTCTATATCTAATCTCTGTACCTGTATGGATACACAGGCAGTGATATCTCACACCTATATATATTTTCTTTATTCATTCCAATGTCTTGTAAATTCAGGTGATAATTGTAAATAAATTTTTACACTTCTTGATTGTTTCTATGAACAAGATATGTCACATGCCTGCATTCAAAACTACTTTCAGTTTTCACAGAGTAATTTTTTTTTCATCTGCCATTTCAGTGCAATCGTGTCTCACAAAGAAAATGTCAATGGTGTGACCTTCCACTTTGAGACAACAGGAGATGGCCAAGAAATTGTCCTGCTTCTGCCAGGGGCACTAGGTATGTAACAGTACTCCTGCTACAGGTAGTACTAGGTACATCACTGCCAAGCTCCTCTGCGGAGCATTATTTATGTAACTAATGAACTCCTATGTCACTGTCCAGCTCCTCCTGGGAACACTAGGTATGTCACTGTCCAGCTCCTCCACGGAGCACTAGGTATGTCACTGTCCAGCTCCTCCTGGGAACACTAGGTATGTCACTGTCCAGAACCTTTCAGAGATTTGACATTGTTTATTTCTGCAGGATCAACTAGAACTGATTTTGAGAAGCAGTTGACTGATTTTAATAAGTCTGAATACACATTAGTTGCGATGGATCCTCGAGGTTATGGACGCAGCATCCCTCCAGAAAGGGACTGGCCTTTAGAATTTCTTCAGCGAGATGCTGATGATGCTCTCCAACTATGTAAGGTAACAAGTTAGAAATAATGTTTTCTGCAGAAACGTGTCACTATTTTAGGATTGCAAGAAGCCTAGCAATAATTGTCTGTAGATTAGGACTATTATGATTTCTAGGTTATGACAAATAACGGGATCTGTATATCAATTTGATAGTTTTTGTTCCTGCTCATAACTACATATATATTACTGTTTCATGCATTTTTTGTATAGGTGTTCATGTAAAAATATATTTATCTTATGTGACATTTAACATAAAAAATAGTCTTCCTACTTCATAGATTATTATTGCTTACAATTGTTCTTGACTGGCAAACTACCTATGACTTTGTACAATGATTTAGTCATTGGCTTTTTCTGCAGAACTAGAAAGCCTAAATTCATTACATTTTACAAATTCTGACAAAGGCAGAAGAATTCCTACAAATGAATTAAATTCTTAGGCTTTCTCATGAAATATTGGCATTGGAATCTTTTAAACTAGGGGGAAAAATTATTAAAAAAAGGAAGAAAGAAAGGAGAAAAGCAGAACTGTGTATCTTATAGAGATTTAAGAATGGATACTTGCTTGGTTTATCGTTGATTGATTGTCAAGTTTAAATGATATTGTTATGTACATGTATATATGTAAGTAAAATTATGAATGGCAAAATTAGAAGAATCAAACTGATGTTTTTAAATGCCTTGGGTTTATAATCAGGTTTTTGACATACATTTTTATCCCTAACACTTCCTGGATGAAAAAACCCAAATAAGAACAAAATTGTTTTAAGAAAGTATCTGGTACAACTGTCAAGTATATATTACTTTATAGAACTGTATCATTTCTATCACATACACAAGCTGTAATACTTTCCTATTCATTCTTATAAGGACATTTTTTACATAAATGTAATAATATAATATCACCAAGAGTTATCTTCCCATGTTCTGTATCCTGGACTCCATACAGGAGAATCCCATAATGTTGATAATAAACAGGACGTAACCTGACATGCGCTTGTTATGTGATCCCTGCAACAGACGCTCACAATTACAACAAATACCGTAGCAATAAGTGTTGACTTATATTAATAAAAAAAGAGCCATCTTTACTAATAAAGCTTATATCTTATGGAATTTTTGTGATCACTTTAGACCTTAGGTTTCCGCAAGATTTCCGTATTGGGTTGGAGTGATGGAGGAAACACAGGGATGATATTAGCAGGCAAAGAACCTTCCCTGGTCAGTAAGCTTGTAGTCTGGGGAGCCAATGCGTTTGTCTCAGAAAAGGACATAGATGCTTTTGAAAGTAAGTCTGAAAATTCTGCAAACTGGTTTGATTTGAGTATACAATTTGTAAATGATAATTTTCTTTTGATTTATGATCAGAAAAAGTTCTCTTTATAGACTAAAACATATAGTCCAGTTATAACATTTATAATCAGGAAAAGTTATAGACAAAACATATAGCCCATTTATGACATTTAAAATTAGGAAAAGTTCTCTTTACAGACTAAAACATATAGTCCAGTTATAACATTTATAATCAGGAAAAGTTATAGACAAAACATATAGCCCATTTATGACATTTAAAATTAGGAAAAGTTCTCTTTATAGACTAAAACATATAGTCCAGTTATAACATTTATAATCAGGAAAAGTTATAGACAAAACATATAGCCCATTTATGACATTTAAAATTAGGAAAAGTTCTCTTTATAGACTAAAACATATAGCCCAGTTATAACATTTATAATCAGGAAAAGTTATAGACAAAACATATAGCCCAGTTATAACATTTATAATCAGGAAAACTTCTCTTTATAGACTAAAACATATAGTCCAGTTATAACATTTATAATCAGGAAAAGTTATAGACAAAACATATAGCCCATTTATGACATTTAAAATTAGGAAAAGTTCTCTTTATAGACTAAAACATAAAGCCCAGTTATAAATTATTTCTGATAATACAAACAAAATATTCTATCTTAACTCAATTTCAATTTCACTCCATAGATAGGATTCCATTTATTGTTCTGTCTATATCTTGAAGTAGTAAAATTCCTTTTCTTTACATCTAGTAATGCTTGCTCACATACTTTATGCCCCGTCCATCCTCACATAATTTTCCCTTTCAATTTTGAATTTGATGGTTGTTTATCGATTATTGATCAATTTTTTATTTATATCCATCCTTGTTCCAAAAAAAACCTTTCGTTATTTTCCTTTGTTTTATTTACTTAACAATAAAATTGATTAATAAATCATAATAAGACCACATGCCTGTGTTTACCAATGCTTGTGTTTGACATTCTGTATCGTGAGGTTGTATGACCAGTAGCCAGTGTATAGACTATTTGTGCATGTAAGTTTGGCACACTGTGTTCTCCAAACCTGATACTAATTCCAATACCAGTATGTGAATATTATTATTATTTTAAAGCTTAATACTTTTCTGCAGAAATTCGGGACATTTCATCCTGGAGTGACCGTATGAGGGAGCCGTTTGTGAAGCTATATGGACTAGAGTATTTTCAGAAACACTGGAGTTTGTGGGTGGATGGTTATAAAGCTTACTACACTGACAGGAAAGGTTAGTTTAATAAAGATTTCTTAATTATACCCCAGCCCCCCCAACTCGGGAAGTGGGGAGTATATAGTTATTACTTTGGCTGTGCATTCAAGTGTGAATGTGTGAGTGCATGCATGAGTGCATAAATCTGTGATAATCTTGTTTATTTCATGATGCCTGTAACAGATTTGGTTCACATTTCACACCATAGCGTAATACCACAAAGATCTATGTCAGATTATATTTTGGTGGTCATTGGTCAAGTTTAAAAGTCAAAGATCATCCTTGACTACTTATGTACAAGGTATCTCATGAACACCTATATAGATTTATGTCAGATTCACATCCTAGCATCATAACACTAAGGTCAACTCTAGATCAAATTTTGATGGTCATTGGTCAAGTTTAATGATCAAAGTGACCTTTTACCTCTTTGCAAATAAAAAGCTTGTGCACATGGTCTTTTTGAGTACCTACTCACTTTGTTTTAAATTCTTTACCTTTTTTATGATACAAAGTATTGAAGGTCTTATTACTTAAATAACTTACAGACAAAAGATTTATTTTAGGTTTTGTCAACGTTTGATATTATATCATAAATGTGTAAACACTTTCTCCTTGTTGTCATCTCTTATGTTTTAAGTTTTTGATGCCCTTTATATATTTTGCCCAGCTGACATTTGTATGGGTGACTTGAAGAACATCACAGCTGAGACTTTGATTATCCATGGTGTGAAGGATGCACTAGTGGAGCAGGAACATCCAGATTACTTACACGCAAATATCAAGGGTTCTAAGTAAGTGTTAATTCCCAAGGGGAGATAATTTCAAACTCATTGGCTGACAGGGACTATGCTTGTTTTGTTTGGTGAGTTTATCACCTTATGAACAGCCAGGGTCATATTGCGGCAGGGTCTCCTTGTGGTAGCTGGTCGCTGTCCCACTGAAGGACATGCGGAATGTCCATCACATGCCTTATCAGTAGGTTGAGACAGTGCCAGTTACCACTGTTTGCCTGTTTATAGGCTTTAACAAGAAAACTGTGGATGGTAATTTACTATAAATAATCTACAACTCCTTTGTGGGTATGGTATAAGGCGATATGAATAATAAATGATGATGTGAAGTGTTGTGTTAAAGTCAACAACTGCCATACAGACTTGTTCAACATTAGGATCAGCATTAAACAGGGATGTTTAGCTTCACTAACACTTTTTTCCTTGTATCAAAATGTCATCCATCTCAACCTGTAACAGGCTCCTGATTTCATATAGATGTTGTAAACATCAAAGTTAAAAATAGATATCTCGGGCTCTGGTTCGATGACCACTTAACATTCACTTGCAGTGCAGCAACTTGGAAACTCTGCTAGTTATGGCCTAGAAGTTCCCATAAGTACTGTAGAGATTATTACATTGTTCCTCAGTGTCAGAATTTTTAGTCGCTTGTCTGACCTATACTTATGTATGGTGCTAGTATATGAAGCCTCTCAGAGTTTTTTTCATGTCAAGAATATACAGAAGTGTGCTGTCAAAATATCCCAAGGTCTGAGAAAACATGCCTCAAATATTGGAGTCTATGCGGATGTAATTGGGCTGGTCATTTTTTTTATCAAAACAGAAAGCTTATAGAATTTACTCTCACATTAAAAACACAGATTTACATAGAATTTTACACAGTGTATATTCATGGTCATTAAGAAAAGGCCATTCTTAGGGAGCATGTGTGGAAATAAGACAATATCTAATAGTACAGTCAGGGAAAAGATGGACGATATTTATATCACACTCAACTAAGTGGATGCAGTTATATGGTTTACTATGGAAAGGTAAGCTTAACCAAGGAAAATGAACTCAGAACTTACAGATGTTTTTAAGAATGATAACTGTCCAAAGCATCATATTACATTACATATTCCACATCACTACCACAGTAAGTTGTCCAAATTACCGGTAAACTAGAATAACTGCTAGCTCAGTGAATATATGTTTCCCTGATGAAAATCTTAGTTCTTGCTCTAGATAAGTAAAGTATGTAGACTAGATATAGCTGCTAGCTTAGTGAATATATGTATCCCTGATGAAAATCTTAGTTCTTGCTCTAGATAAGTAAAGTATGTAGACTAGATATAGCTGCTAGCTTAGTGAATATATGTATCCCTGATGAAAATCTTAGTTCTTGCTCTAGATAAGTAAAGTATGTAGACTAGATATAGCTGCTAACTCTGTGAATATATGTATCCCTGATGAAAATCTTAGCTGCTATGCCAAGTGCCCAAGCTGTGACAGGATCACACTCAGCTTTTTGCCTTACAATCAGATTATAAGATGTAATAAGTTACATTGTGTTGTTTTATTTACTAGGCTCCACCTGATGCCAGAGGGAAAACACAACCTACACATTCGTTACTCAGAAGAATTCAACACTCTAGTCGAAAACTTCTTGAAGAAATAAGTCACTGGCACATATACACAAAGGTGTCTGATTTCACATGTATAACTATCTTAAACAGAATTTTATAACATAGAATGATAAAATATACAAGAATGAGACAGTAGTTCCCTCAATCATTTTGTCAGTTGTTCTCTTGCATTTTAAAAATGAGTACAATGTTTGTATATATTAATGATTTCTGCATTTTTGTATAGGTTTATGTGAATGAAACTTGTGATTCAAATGAATAGAGAAAATCCTAAATAAGGTAACCTTTAAATTCTTTATTTAAATTATAACTTTGTGGCGGTATAATTCCCTGTCCTCAAAATATGTAATAGCCTATTTTTTTATCTTTATTATGGGAAATTATCATAATATAATGTAATGCTTCTACGCCTCACAATGTAACCACTATTTTGCTATTTATGTAAACATGTATACTTTCTGCTCGTCAGATCATATTTGTCTATCTTTACAATATTTGTATATCAATATATAAAGGAAGTTCTTTCATACACTCAATTCCTCTTACAGTATGGTCTCTAGGTTTCAATATCTCAAGTTTTTAAATACTTTTCTGCTCCTCAAAACATAGCGATACCTATTTGTAAACATTTTATCTACAGTGAGAAAACATTTGATTTTCTGCGTCTCAATCTGTAACATGTTTGTGTAATTAGGATATATGCATTGTATGTAAAACAGACATTAAATAGGTTTATACAACTATCATGTGCTGATGGTGAAGGTGTTGTTACATAGTAGTGTTATGTCTTGTATACATACCAGGTAGTTCATAGTGTGAGGTATACATAGCAAATATTTAGACATAAATCTAAAATATTACGCAAATATCTGATCTCACATGATCTAGATATATATTTTGCTTGAAGTGACATTTTGAAATATGGTGCTTTGTATAGCTGAGATAAAGGATGTCATTGTTTTGTTTGTTGTTTATGTTTGGTATACTCCGTCCCACATTCTGTTTTATCATTGTCACAATGGTAGCCTCACCATAGTTACTGTCAATTCCTCTTTTTTACACCTTATGCCCCATTATATTCAGTAAATTGATTGACTGCAGCATAACATTCATTGTCGTTTCATCTTCATTAATACTTGCTATAATAAGATATCTTGGAAAATCAAAATATTTGCATCCTAAATTCAGATGCTTTATAATTAGAGAGTTGTGGCCATTTGTTCATTTGTATGCTTTCTATTTCACCTACACTCATTAGATCTTGAGAAATGGAAGAAGTATGGAGCTACCTTTACTTCAGAAAACATTTTTTGTTTTACTATCATTTGGAATATTATTTAAGGAAAGCAATCCTCTTACACAAGTTTTACCCAGTAAGATATTGTATGGAATATTTTTTTTCTTTTAGATTATGTATAAAGGATGCTGTTATATATCCTTCATTTATTGAAGATGAATTATTTTTTCCTGATTTACTACAGCTATCTTCTTCTTACCTTTCAAATACACATAGTATGACTCTGAACATACATGGAATGTTAAAAGAATTACTTGTAGTCTATGACTAGTGGTAGGCATTCCAACCGATGTGGTTGTCTTATAGTGTTTATTTTATCTGTCTTATATTCTAACTTGATCAAATCATGTCTTTGTAATTTAATTCACTTTTTTGTCAAAAAAATCATAAATACATTTAAAATCCTAACAATTTTTTAACAAAACTTAAATGACACATAAAATGGGTGTACAGGGGTAGAACTAGATATTTTGAAGTGTTATAGGATCTTAATCTTTAATGAAATGAAATCATAGAATCATTTTTTTTTTTTTTTTTTCAATTTACAAAAATTAAAGATATTGGGACTGTATATATACTCAATTCATAGTCTTTGTTAACATGATATAGAATTTATTATCCATGTGGTGGAAATCTTGTTTTGCCAAATAAATTGTTACATCAAGTTTGTGACTTTTTTCATACTTATTTACTGCATTCGCCAAGATATCTTACATAAATGATGTTACAGCTCTGAAAAAAAAACTGAAAAATATGAAAATGAAAAACAAAGGTTGAGACATGAAAAGATAAATATATATTTACCAGTATGTATCCACAGAGGTAATAATGACTGGTCTTGTTCACCAGCCTCTCAGCTGTTTTCTATGAGGAAAAGAGTTTGGGGAAACACCCAAGAGGCTGATCAACCAGACTTATGATGACAGTGTAGTCCAAATTGTTTTTAAAATTTTCAGGTATATCTGCCTTTTTAACAAGATGACCCAGCAATTACCAAAACATACACATGTACATTTTGTACATAAAAAACAATAAACAATGTGACAAAATATGAAAAAATCAACTATCTTATCAATCAAGTCAGGGTTAAAATATCTGTCACACATTTCACAAGGTTGGCACATATGTTCCTTGGCAGATGGGGGAGAGGGATTGGGATTGCTTGTTGGATGGGGAGAGGGGGAATCTGATCATCTGAATGCATTGAACAACCTGATGGGATATATCTTTATTTTAACTTTTTTGGTTTCTTTTTCTCTGTCACTGCATCTAACTAAGTATTTAACAGTGAACAAGTAAAAAAAGTTGACATATTACACATTCTCGACACTGTGATTGGTATTTTAGAAATAACTTTTGATGAATAAAATACATCAAATGTTTGTCTCTATTTCCAAATATAAGTAACACCTTCAATAAATATAATAAAAAATAATTTGGAAATTAATGATGACATAATATATAAATCCATCTTCCCTGGATTCTCTGATAACTTTGAACATGGTCTTTGATATAGAGATCTATAGTGTCGTCCATACTTAAAACCAGTATAGGATATGTTTAGATGCACTCTGAAATCCCAGAGTTAACGCCCTTTGTTTCACAATGTCAGTACGTTATGGCATAAGCTTGACAGACGATAGGGGCAGATTGGTATGTATGCTCCAGATACACCATAAATATCAATCAAAAGTTAAATGAAAATATCAAACTATCATACAGGTAATTAGTGCCTTTCTATACATAGAAAATAGTCGCGTTAAAAATCAGGCAAATGACATTGTACTCGTAGATTTCAATTTCTTCTAAGATTATAATCTTAATTTTAATTGTAGTTCTGTTATATGACACTTAAAATGAAGGAAGATATATTATGGATAAGGAGAAGAGTAATTACCATTTCTTACAACCTTGTGTTTACAGGAATATTTCAAAATATACCTTCAAAAGTCTGATTGTCAGAACAGAATACTATACTGTCATTAAAATACCAATTGAGCTGGAAAGTAATAATAAAAAAACCACTATGGGAAAATGGTGATAACTCAAATCAGAAAAAAAGAATGAAGTTTCTGACTGTCCACCTCAGTAAACATTTTAGTGTGTATGGAAATTATTTCTGTGTATTTAAAAATTCATATGTTCTACTAGCTTGGAATATGTGCATCACTTAGTTCACAATAACTTACTGACAAGCAAATCAAGGAGACAAAATCACAATCTACATACAACCAGTCCTCTTCACAACACCATTTATAAGTGATAGATGTAAACTTTGCTGGTTCATCCCTATTGTAGTCAAATGTTTCCAGGTCCCTACATTAACGTCTGTGTAACTGGGAAAAGAAAAGGCATGACCTCAAAAACTGTTTTCCAGAATTTTTTATAATGTGCTATGTGTATTATTGTTGATTAAAATATTGTTATTGTTCAAACAAATTTCTCAAATAAGTAACAGAGTGATTTTGATTCGTTTATCGTTATCTCGCCGTGCACTTATGTAAACCAGACAAAACACGAGACAGGGATAATGTTGTCACATTTTTCATGTTATTGCAAAAACATGTACATCTATAAATTGTATATAATCAACTTTGATTTAGAAGTCGAAATATAAGATTGAATTGACTTGATTCAGGAAAACGTCCCTCTTTGGAGGCTAAATCATATCTTCACTTACCTACTATCGTGTGTATCACCGTGCTACACTTTAGTGTATTTAATGAGAGATAAAGTGTTTTTGGTCTGTATCACTATTTCCAATATAAACTTGTTTTAAAAACCGTTCTTTGTCCCGCAGTAGTTTTGAATTCTTAATAGATTTTCTAATTTCTTTTGTCAATTTCTAAAATTATCGAATCAGTTCTGAAAATAAGAATTATAAATATGGTGAAGTAATAGGGAAAATAATGGAAGTAAGAGAAAAAAAAAGTTAATCTTTCATATTTTATTTTTAAATATTTTACCAATTAACCTCTTGAAATGTTTTAACGTGCAATATCTTTGACAATATGACATTTATTGACCGTCGTCTGAAACTGTCTTTTCAGTCCAGAAAACGCCCTGCTCCAGACCAACTGTCGGACAGTCCATTGTAATCCCTATTGTTGTGCAATCACAATCAATAATGGTCAGTCGTACCGTGGTGATGACCCCATTGTTTTAGGCAGGCGGAGTCGTCGACCCGTGAAAATTGTCTACCTGGTATACCCGTCGACCTATGTGACACCTTGCCTGTTCACGGTACACTGAATATGGGGAAAGTCCATGTTAAGACTCGCAAAATAGGATCCAAATATTTCTAAAATCATATTAAAATATAATTTAAATTCGAAAATGATAATTTTTCTGCTGTAACTGATATGTGGAATTATTTAAAACATTTCAAGACTCCAATATTTCGAAAGAGCGAAAATTTGAAAAAATATAAGTCTACCGACACTAACCTTACCCTCCCCCAGTGTGGACCCGTCTAGAGGATAAGGTGGGGTCAGCATCACCTCAAACTCTATCTCACAACTAACTTTTCAACTAGCAACGGCAGAAACGACAGATAACAAGAGTTCTAAGGAAAACGCCGCACCGACGGACCAAACAACTGTCTAAAGAAATGGTCAGTAGTAAACCAGCGATGCAATAAGAAAATAAAATACGTACAACTTGATTCAGTTTGAGGATTCTATAATAGATAAAAAAAAATACCTGGTTACAGTAGAGCAAAAAAATAGTACAAAAATCAACAATCAAGAAAAACACACCGCGGGTCTTTTTATTATTATGAAAAATCGGCATATTTTGCATTTTTTTTTTTTATTTTGAAATTTATCCATGATAGAATTAGTTTGATAATAATACAATTTGTAATGCTTATTTTTCTGTCTGTGATGACTGATTTATTCGACAAATCTTTGAAAAATGTCTCGTTGTACGTATTTTTGTTGTAGTATGAAGTATTTTGTTGTTATTGTGTTGTATACGTTGTGATATACATTAGCATTGATTATCATTCAGCGGATTCCTATAAAATAAGATTTTATCACTATTTATTTATTATCTGAGGGCGATTTCGAAACCACGAGTTATTTCCCAAAAACATGACAAGGCCTTTTTTACTCATTCACGCTGAATTCTACAGAAAAAATAAGTATGATGTAAATTCCCCTTCAGATTTTAAAATGCTGGTCTATATTATAGGATATGATTTACTATTGTAATATTTTGTGACAATATAAAAATTAATATTTTTATCATTTGTCTTTTACATTTAAGTTTGTTTGATGTTATTTCATTAAAACATAAATACAAAATGTTTTGTCATGAATATACAAGTCAGACTAACTTTGGGGGTTGTAAGTTTTTCTGTAATGATCTGGAATAAGAACATGAATGTATTGTTCAATGTATATGTATATATCAGAATGAAATAAAGTTTATATTAACGACAAACAAAATAATTACGCGTGACAAGATAGGTCACTTCACGAGATGAGAAAGTACTAACAAGGTTTCTATTTTAGTACATTAAAATTAATAATGTGAATTTTTCTTTGATATTGTCCTAAATTGTTTAGGATTGCATGAGCAGATTTTAAGCAGTCTTTATAATTAATATTTGGATTTTTAATAGTAGCGATACACTTTAATATTAATATTAAAGATTTCTGTACTAAGTTTGGATTTTGTATTGCAACATCGGGAAATTAAATTGTTTTCATCACGGAGTTCTGTTCGGGACAAGAAAGGTCACTTCACGAGATAAGAAAGTTTTCTATTTGAGTACATTAAAATTAAAAATGTGAATTTTTCTTTGATATTGTCCTAAATTGTTTAGGATTGCATGAGCTGATTTTAAGCAGTCTTTATAATTAAAATTTGGATTTTAAATAGTAGCGATACACTTTAATATTAATATTAAAGATTTCTGTACTAAGTTTGGATTTTGTATTGCAACATCGGGAAATTAAATTGTTTTCATCACGGAGTTCTGTTCGGGACAAATCCTTTACTTTCAAAAGCAAATTCTTTTTATTTTTTAAATGGTAAATATGTATGAAAACAATTTGTGTATAAATATGTCACATCGACGCTGTCTGAATACCATTTTGGTATAAATACGTCACATCGACGCTGTCTGAATACCTTTTTGTATAAATATGTCACATCGACGCTGTCTGAATACCTTTTTGTATAAATATGTCACATCGACGCTGTCTTAATACCTTGTTATAGAAACTATCAATATACAATTTATTTTATTTATATCCACAAACCTTACTAATTCTATTTTTTGTTCTCAAATACTAAGGTGTATCCATTATCATTTTTATCCACGTGGACTTGTTCGTACCAATTAAATCTGATTTGTTCCCTATCGATATAGTTTGCCAATTTGTCTATATAAACTATTGCGTAATTTGTTTATATTTATCACGTGTGGCCTCCAGAAATTATGTGTTCTTATTTCGTTTCAATGTGAAGTATTTTACTAGATGTTCTAACATTGAGTTGCGGTAGTCTAGTCAGGCTTTGTAAATGTATTCTTTATATGTATTTACAACATCCTTTCAAAATACAAAGTCTAAAATCTCCTAGGTTACCTAGGTAACGTTGTCCGTCACCAGGACTTCATACTACAATCCGGCTGCTTACGGAGTAGTAC